ACCACATCCCTACTCTGGAACACCTACTGTACCTGTGTGCCACATTTCAGACTAGTAGGCTCCAGTACAGAACAAAGTCACTAACCAAACCAAACAGAGCATAATGTGCTTGACAGTTTGTATTACTTGTCTGAACACGTTGTTTCTTGTAAACACTGATAAATCAATCATTCCTTTCAATAAACGTTTGACACATAAAAAATACCACCGAGCAAAATGTACTTAAATGTGTACATTACTGTTTATACTAGATTATTTACTGTAAAGGCTGTGATTAATCAACCAGTCCTATCTTTAATGAACTTTTGACACTTGAAAATAAAACAGTGAGCTGAGCAAAATGTTCTTAAAAGTGTGTTACTTTTTCTGTACTAATTATTTCCTGTCTTAATATCAGTAAACTTTTCACTCAGGAAAAAAAAATGTGAGCAAAATGTAGGCTATAAACAAGTAATAAATGAAGTTTTAACCCCTTAAAGTGGAGAGGTCCTGGCGACCCGCTGAGAGGCTTTGGCGCCCCCTTGTGGGGGGTCGGGACCCCCAGGTTAGGAACCACTGGTCTAGACATTTGTACTTTAGTCTGGAAGTAATATGTCAGCTTTACTCTCGACACTACCAGTTTCATCTCCGTGCATCCTGACTTCTTCTTATTATGGCGCGTGTCCTCACTGAGCCCTGCTGGGAACAAAAACAAGCTGGTTTTTATTATTCCCTTTGGTGGCTCTGCTTCTTCCAGCTGCGCCCCATGAATCCACGGAGATGATTGATAATGTGACGTTCTGCTAACAAATGAATGAGTCCGTTCTTCTAGATCTAATGGTTTGATTCAACTTCACAACTGCTGTAGTAGAGCCCCAAAGGATGCTGGAAGCTCTAAACATGGTTGCTGTTGCTGACTGACCTAGCCTTCTGAACATGTGTTCTGCTAACAGAGAATTGCTAAACAAGCAGCAGAGAAGCGCTACATCGAAGCCCTGCATGGATCTGATGTGACAGAGGACTTTCTCAGCAGCAAGGTTGGCAAACCAGCTTCAGACCGTAAAGCGTCTGTATCCAGTGACAGCAAGCAGAGGTAAATCTGACATCTTTGTTGTGCAAATACAGAAAAAACAACCAAGCACCAAGTAAACCAGACTTAGTGGTTTTGCTGTAACATAAACAGACCAGAACCTTTGACTTTCACCGGTAATCAGATTTTAGAACTAACTATAACTAACTAACTAACTTACTTACTTACTTACTAACTAACTAACTAACTAACTAACTAACTAACTAACTAACTTACTAACTAACTTACTAACTAACTAACTTACTAACTAACTAACTAACTTACTAACTAACTAACTTACTAACTAACTAACTTACTAACTAACTTACTTACTAACTAACTAACTTACTAACTAACTAACTTACTTACTAACTTACTAACTAACTAACTTACTAACTAACTAACTAACTTACTAACTAACTTACTAACTAACTTACTTACTAACTAACTAACTAACTTACTTACTAACTAACTAACTTACTTACTAACTAACTAACTTACTAACTAACTAACTTACTTACTAACTTACTTACTAACTAACTAACTAACTAACTTACTAACTAACTAACTTACTAACTTACTAACTAACTTACTTACTAACTAACTAACTTACTTACTAACTAACTAACTAACTCACTAACTAACTAACTAACTTACTAACTAACTAACTAACTAACTAACTTACTTACTAACTAACTTACTTACTTACTAACTAACTAACTAACTAACTAACTAACTTACTAACTTACTAACTAACTTACTTACTAACTAACTGTTGATGTCATGTGTGTAACACATATATAACTATGTGAGAATTGGACAGTAAAATGATCACAAAACAGTCCAATGTGTCTATCACATTGCAGGGAAGGTTACAATGACAAGATCTCCAACTGTTATAGAAATAACAAAATAAAACAAAACTCACTCCAACTCCTTCATAAAAGCCATAGAATAATTATGGGTCTTTATTCTACTCTTAAAGGGACATTATGGAAGTTTGACGGCTAAAACATGTATAGAAATAATAAATGTCTTCTTCATACATTCTCCTGCAATGCCCTGGTCCTGTAGAATGAGCCCTGGCATTTTTACTGTGATTGCCTGTTTTTCTGTAAAATCACAGAAAAAGAGAGATGCTCGGGTCGAGCAGGCTGCTTCATGCGTCCCGACTCTGAAGAATGAGTGATATGTCAGGCAGGAGCGTCTCAGGATCTGTCTGAGATCTGTCTCTGTGAGACAGATAATAGCAATCCAAAGAGCTTTTTATGTGTGATCTGGCAACTGATCAACCATTGCTTCAAAATTAAATACAGCTTAGCCGGTTAATTGCTGTGATCATAAAACACGTAAACGGCAGCACGCAGAACTCACGAGGCAACGTTTTACGTGACGTTTACTTGTTGCTATGAGTAATAAGACAGAAAAAGCCACGCCAAAATAAGTTTAGGAAGCCCACTAAGAACCGTAATAAAAGCATTTAAAATAAATACCATACACAGTTGAGGAAACGTTGGTTTAAGTACCTGATATGAAGCGGTCGCTGCATAAGCGAAAACCTTTACTCTCGAGATCCCACAGCTTCATTTTAGCCCGGTCACTAGCGCGTTTTATTACAATGATCCAACGTTTGCGGCGTTCCGGATCTTGGGGAATCCTGTAGATGGCTCGTCCCTTAGGTCGTCCATGTCTGTTCTGCATCCTGGGACACAACAGGAATCTACCATATTTCCCGTTTGATTGAGTTTTCTGACAATAACAAATAGTCCAGCTGCGGGCTTCTGCCTGCCAAGATGGCGCCGTTTCGATTTGAACTGTTGCATGCTGGGAGAAGTGACGTCAACTCCCGGAGCTCTATAGGTGAGATATAGGTGGATTTTGTTACCTGGCGACAGTTTCAGCTTTTCTCTTGAAGGCCTCACATCATGGACAGCCCATGATGAAGGCTTCAAGATAAATAAATCTAAAGGTGGTCTAACCTGATGGCTGAAAAGAAGACTAGAAATGTGATTATTTAGTGACGTAGTATGATGAAACAATTGTGTAATCAGAGGCTCTCTTTTTGATTAGCAACCAGGAGGATGCCGATTATAAACCTGTTCGCTACAGAAAGATCTTTCTAGATGATGAAGACATCGATGATCCTGCTGAGAGCAAAGGAAGGAAAGAGGAGGAGAGTGACATGGCCTCACTGAACCAGGATGATGAAGACCATTCCCCAGATGATTACCATGGCAATGATTGCAGCTATTCTGATGGAAGTTTCTCAGAAGATGTTGGGAATTACTCAGACGACAGCGAGCATGAAGCAGATGTCAGACAACAGAAAGTGGGAGAGTGAAGTCATCAAACATTGCCACATGTACAAACACTCAGAGAGAGGATCAACCCAGTTGGCCGATGGGTTTGTTTGATGACATTTTAACAAGTGTTTGGAAAAAATCGTAATGTAAAAGTTAAGACTGGAAAATTGTGATGTTTATGATTAATTACTGGATCTGAAAGTGTTCATTGTGCTTCATGAACATTTTGCATAGGAAGTCTAAGGCCCTGTCCACACGTAGCCGGGGATCTGCCAAAACGTAGATATTTTTCTGCGTTTTGGCCTGTCATCCACACGAAAACGGAGTTTTTTTACACGAAAACGGATCTTTTTAAAAACTCCGGCCAAAGTGAAGATCTGCGTTTTCTCCGTTTTGGGTGTCTGCGTGTGGACGGACAAAACCGGAGTTTTAAGGTCCGCAACGTCACTTTCCGCGACAAAAAAATGCTGACATCACGTGTGTGACCTGTGTTTACACTAGCCGACAGCATGGATGCCCTCAGAGCTGCGCTCGCTTTATCAATTGTCCAAGCGCTTTCTGCTTGTTTGTTTTTGCAAGAGGAATTACTGCTCCTTGTGGAAGACCACAGACGAAGGACGAGGTTAAGAACGGGGGAAGTACTGCCGCCTACAGGTCTGGCATGTCCTTAACAACGTATTTATCCGGGTACGTGTGGACAGATTTTGTTTTTACAACGCGGTGGTGTGGATGCAAGTTTTTGGAGGGGCGGATATTCGTTTTTAAAAAACCCGGCTACGTGTGGACTAGGCCTATGTCTCCTCCCCTTCCAGTGGACCCATGGGTCCCTGAATGGGGCTATAAAAGTAGTTTTCTAATCCGCTTTGCCTTTCGCCCTAAATCACACACATGTTGTACTTCTCTGTTGTACTGAGTTTTGACTATGTCTGTCACATACTTTGAGATTTATTAGCTTGTAAAAGTTGGTAAATAAAAGACGACAAATCAGATATGACACATATGACATCACAACATCATCTCTTCTCCAATAGCGTAGCTGCTACTTACCACATGACCAGATTTATGGTGGTTTTCTCCACGTTTAATGCTCCATCTGTTGTACTGGAAGAAGGATGAATATCTACTGTGGTCCAGACGGGGGCATAGGCCGCCAATCAGCTCCCTGCAGGCATCTCGGTTGTGGGCTAGTCTCTCCAGCTCTTCTCGTGTCTTTCCCATCTGCTTGACATCTGCCTCCACATCATTGCATCATTTATTTCGAGACCGCCCCCTTTTCCTCTTCCCTTGGGGGTTCCATGTGAGGGCTTGCCTGGTGATGCTGGAAGCAGCTTTGCAAAGCGTGTGACCGATCCAACGCCAGTGTCTCTGGCGGATGTCCTCCTCAACGGGCTGTTGCCTGGTTCTTTGCCACAGCTCTTCACTGCTGATTTTGTTTGGCCAGCAGATCTTGAGGATCTTCCTGAGGAAGGTGTTGATGAAGACTTGGATTTTCTTCATACTGGTGGTCTTGGCCCCATACAGTAAAACTGGCTTCACAATGGTATTGAAGACTCTGATCTTGGTGTCGGTGCTTAGTTCACTAGAAACCAAGATGTTCTTCAGCTGCTGGGAGGCTGCTCTTGCTTTGCTGATGCGGGTTCTGACATCTGCATCGGTTCCTCGCTACTTGTCCAGGATGCTGCCAAGATAAGTGAAACGGTCCACCTCTTCCAGTACATCGCCTTCGACTGTGATGGATATAACGTTGGATGCATTTGTCTCCAACACCTTGCTCTTCTCTCTGTTGATATGGAGGCCCAGGCTAGCTGAGTTGTCTGCAACGATGCTGATCTTTTCTAGCATCTGTTGTTGGCTGTGAGAAAGAAGAGCCAGGTCATCCGAAAAGTCAAGGTCGTGCAGCCGTTTCCATGGTGTCCACTGGATGCTGTTTCGTTTCTGGTATGTTGACGTCTTCCTGACCCAGTCTATAACCAACAGAACCAGGAAGGGCGAGAGCAAACAGCCTAGCCTCACTCTGGTTTGTACTTCAAAGGCGTCTGTGAGTTGGTGACCATGAACAATCCTACAGCTCATCTGTTCATGAGATGTACTGATGATGTTTGTGATTTTCTCTGGCACACCGTGGTGTTTCAGTAGCTTCCAGCTTCTTGCCTGTCAACGCTGTCAAATGCCTTATCGTAGTCAATAAAGTTGATGTAGAGAGGCGAGTTCCACTCCAGGGACGGTTCCAGGATGATGTGCAGCGTTGCAATCTGGTCTGTGCATGACCTTTCCTTACAGAAGCCAGCTTGTTAGTCATGGAGATGTGGGTCTCATGCCCCCTTGATCTTGTTCAGCAAGACGCGGTTAAGCACCTTTCCTGGAATGGACAGGTAGTTGGAGCAGGAACGGAGGTCACCTTTCTTGGGTTGTTTGATGAGGTAGCCTATCTTCCACTCTGCTGGTACTTCCTCTTCTTCTCATATCTTGCAGAATAGTGGGTAGAGGAGCTACCTGGAAGAAGGATGTGAAGCTCACCAAACTCACAGACACGTTTCTTCTTCCTCTTGTCTCATGTGATAATGTCAATGTAGTGAAAAGTGCAGTTGTTGCCCTCTACGTGTTTTCATACAAAACCTAAAATAACATTTGACATCTGTTGAAAATATGCACTTTCTTGGCATCAAAATGTGTCTTTTAAATTCAGGGACATCATCTGTTAAATCCACGGCACGTATCAAACAGGATCAGAAAATAACGTGTACCCTCTCATAGACTCCCATACATGTTTTGGCAGTAGGGGACCCATGATCTGGAAGTAGATAGATGTGATTTAGGCTTTCTATAATTGGTTTATGAATCCCAATTATTTATCTATTAAGGCAAGCCATTTTAACATTTAATCAGAAGTCAGACCTTTTATTATTTCCTATTTTATATAGCAATAATTTAATTTATCCTAGTACTTCCTAGTACTTGTCAAAACTGCAAATGAAGATCCATCCATTTTCATCCGCTTATCCGGAGTCGGGTCGCGGGGGCAGTAGCCTAAGGCGAGAGGCCCCCGCAAATGAAGATATCAACAGCTATTTTTATTAGTAGAAATTATAACTAAAGGTATCCATAATAATTACTGCACTAGTAGGAATTAGGTTTGAGATATCTCAGGATCCCTAAAAACCTATAGTGGCTGATTTAACAATTATGAGAGGCAATAAGAGGCGGCTCTTGCTAGCTGTGGACGCAAGGTGGCCGGTGCCAGTCATGGTGACAACCCCCGTACCCGCTGGTGGACACCAGAGGTTCGGGGAGCCGTCAGGCTGAAGAAGGAGGCCTACAGGGCGTGGCTGGTCTGTGGGTCTCCGGAGGCAGCAGACAGGTACCGGATAGCCTAGCGGGGTGCAGCAGTGGCAGTTGCCGAGGTAAAATCTCGGGCGTGGGAGGAGTTTGGTGAGGCCATGGAGAAAGACACACAACTGTTGCATCCCTCATGGTGTGGAAGTCAGAGAGTTGAAAACTGCCAGCTTACAGTTGGATTAAAACATGATCAGGATAATTAGATGTCTCTGATGAACTTTAAGTGTCTTTGAATGATGAAAAATGTAAAAAAAAATACATATAATTTAAAGCAATCACAAAAATCACCTGACCCTGAAACAAGACATCAGCCCAGTTCTGCTTCAGAATTTTTGAAAAAGTTGCTAATCAAGGATTTCAACCCGTCTGCTGACACCTTGTGGAAACATGAAGAACTGCAGGACTACAAAAGGTGTTTAAAATATTTTTTTTAGCAAGAGACTGGATCATTTATGAAATAAAAGAAATGGTAAAGGATTTTTATAAATGTGTGTATTATTCGTGGCACATTTTATAAAATTAATATATTATTTATTTACTATTTATTCCAGATCTTAAAGGTTACTCAGGCACTTTTTGCACTCCATATGTTAAATGTGAGTCAGATTCCGGAATTCATTAGAGGCATGGAGATGGACAGAGGACATCTGTCTTTTCTCCACTAAGGAAATTCCTCGGTAACTTGCCAGCATTTTATATCTTTGGTCTTGTCGATTACCCCGTAAAACAGAGGAGTGTTTTTTTGGAGATGGATGTTAAACCTCCCCTGGTGTCCACAGACATGGCTGTCTTGAAAAAGACACCTGGTTCCTCAAAGGGCTGAATCTGACGAGACTTGTCCAACCAGTCTACATGTGTTTTGTGGATTTGGAGAAGGCATTTGACCCGACCGCGTCCCTCGGGTTTAGTTTTGTGTTATGATCCAACCCCTCCTCTTTAATCCGGGCTTGGGACCGGCAGACGTGAACCAAAAGGGAAACTCTGGCAGAGTTGGTTGGATTTTTTTTCAGACACTTTCTGAACTTTAAATGAGTCTTTTTCATGTTTTTTGTTTAGTTTTGTCTTTAAAAGGACAGTTGTTGGCTCTTCATGAGTCCAAATCCAACAGTTGATTCACACACATGCTGGGTTAGAAGCTCGTCCATTTGCCCTTTTCTGTCAGCTGTTATCTTTTTAAGGCGTAACAGATTTAGGTGTTACACCTCTGAGCCAGAATCTTCTCCAGAACAGAGTGACTGCTGCCCAGAAACAAGCTGTTTCCTCTCTTACTAAAATGCACTAAAGTGTTAAAACTAGACAATGTTTAGAAGTTACGTTTGGTAAGAAATCCTTTTCCACCTATTTTAAGTTTCCACTATAAGGTAAAAGAAACCCACTTTAAGATTATATCTGGTGTATACCCTCCTGGAGATTTCTTATATAAAAGATTTAAATTTGAATCTGACCCTTGTTATTTTTATTTATTTATTTTGTTCATCAGAAGTAGAAACGATAGAACATGTGTTTTATAATTGTCAAGCTATCAAGGTCGTATGGTCTGACATTCATGGTTGGATCACACAAAAAATTTCTAACATCTCCATTTACAGCCAAACATGATCTCTATTATATGGAAGATCTGGACTCTGATACTGTCTGATACTGTCAACCTCGTAATCATTTTATGTAAGTACTTTATTCATCCATGCAAATGGAAGAATACAGCTCCTGTTTTTTCCTTCTTTTTGAACTCCTTCATACAGTACGTTAAATCCTTGAAGTGCATTGATAAAATGATTAAGAAAACTGCCAAATATAACCAAAAAATTACATAATCCTTGTTATTTTAAACTTGTTTTGTGTATGTCATATTATCCTTCTTTTTTCTCTTTTCTTTATTATTCTTTATTTTTTTCTCTTCCTTTACAAAAATATATAACTCACTTCATCTTTTGTACCTGAAACTATTATAAAATGTAAAGTTCCTGATTTGTTTTGTAAACGTTATTTTCATCAATTTAAAAAAAACACTCGCCGTGACGACATACAACGTCAGCAGCTGCGTGTAACCAATCCGGCGTCTAAAGGGCGGGATCATTGTCCAAATTTTAGGCGGTGCGCTGCGGGCCGAAACACCGAGAAAGAATATCCCGGTCTCAACCGGTTTCAACCGGTCTGTGGTTGGAAGCATGAGCTGAGAAGACGGGCATCCGAGCACGCACTAAACATTTCTACTGTACCGCAGTGTGCGCATAGAGTCAGAAATAAAACGAGACGTTTTCATTTCGTGATTATGACCCGTATTACCGCTCTAGAGTGACTCCGTGGATTTGTGTCGTTAGCTTAGCATGAGACGGTTTGTTAGCCAGTGGGTCTAAGTCGTCTATGACTTTTTCATTAGCTCGCCAAGTTGCTGTTAGCCTGTTTAGAGGTGGATGTAATCATCATATCTGTAGACATTTTTTAGTGAATGAAGAGCAGAAAAAGAAGCATGGTGTGCTAAACTTCTTAGGACATTGCCACGTTTACAGCGTAAGGGTGTTTTAACAACTTCGATAACTGATTTGACATCTAGGAAAGCAGACATTAGCATTTAGCAACCGGATGCTCGGGTCAGTGTTACGTAAAGGATAACGCTGAGAAGTTTTTAGTCTTTTTATATATTTCTCACGTTGCTTTTCTGCCTCAACTCACGTCGGCAGACAAGTATTTCTTTTTTAATAGGCGGACAGCACGTACAAGGTAAGTAAAGCCCGCGCTAGCATAGTGTTAGCGTAGGCTATCCAAGTATCCACCTGCTTCAGAAGTAACTTGTGGTTATTTTGTGGTGTTGTGATCGCAGCAACTCGAACAGCACACCAACTTAATCCGAGCGGTTTGAGACGTAACGTGTTTTAATAGCTGAAACACGTGTTGGAGTTAGGGTTTTAAGAATAGTACCGATCTTGCCTGATGGAGGCGTTGTTTTGCATCAACAAAAGTCCCTTTTCACTAAATGTTTAGTTCTTTAACATTTTAACATTTGCATTTTGACAGAAGTAATTAAATTGTGACTGTGTCTAGTGTTTACACAGTAGTATTGGCACACGGCTTCCTTTGTTTATTAAAGTGGCTGTTGTCATTTTTTGCAATTTAACAAAAGAGGGTAAATAATTATTCTGACCTTTTAATCCCACTTAAAGATCCGTGCAGTTTTTACTCGTGACTAAATTGTGATAATGAGTTAGATGACTGGATAGTGTTGCTTATCATTTGAAATAATGGACTCTAGAATTTTAGATGTAGCATTATTTCCAAGACCACGTGGGTTTACAGTGTGATCATTCCTCTTGTGTCGCAGGGAGCTCTATGCCAGCAGAAATGACAATGTTGGCCGATCATCCTGCCAGACAGCTGCTGGACTTCAATCAGAAGCTGGACATCACGCTATTGGACAGTGTTGTCAACTCCATGTATCATGACATCGGGACCCAGGTGAGAAACACTCGTGTGTGTGTGAACAGGACAGGCTGTTAAAATATAGCAGTGATATTTGTTCATGAAAAAAACTCCCTAATGGGTTTAATTATGCTGACAAGCACAACTTAAAATCCACCAAACCCTCCAGATCATGTAATTGTTGCTTTTCTTTTTTCTTAGCAACGAGTAGCCCAGGAGGTGCTCACCAATCTGAAGGATCATCCAGATGCCTGGAGCAGAGTGGACACCATCCTGGAATTCTCCCAGAACATGAAAACAAAAGTATGAACGCAACACACACTCGCTTACTGATATTTCTAGTAAAACAATCAAAATTGTCATCCCATAGAATAGGGGTTGGCGAGCTGCGCGCAGCTTCTTTCATCCATCTGATGCGGCTCTCTGCTTGTAAAAAAATCAATGAAGAATTAAAATATATTTTATTTTACTGCATTCATTTTTATCTGTATGCCCATTCTAAATGTAAAGATAGTCTGCGTGACCTTGAACAGGTCCAACGGTTGACAGGTCACCTGCTTGTCCGTAATCAGGTGTCTCAATAGGAGCTTTCTGAGCTGAAGAGGATGTGAGATTCTGGACTTTTCCTCAGACAGGCTCATGGATGCGTTTCCACGTTGGAGACAGGAACAGGCGCTATTCAGCCAAAGTTTCATAGTCAGTGAACATTTTTTAGGTGGCAAGTCTCTCTGAGACTAATACCACCCCACCGTCCAGGCCTGCTGCGGCAGTCTTGCGCAGCGGGTTCCTGACAACGCAGCAGTGGCGGCCCCGGAGACCCTCTACTAATTCATGGCCTTCACAGAACCAAGGTTAAGCAGTCACGCCGCTCAAGCCTCAAGTCCCTCCATTCAGTCCACGTCCAGCGGTGGTCCCATGAGTCTCACCGCATCCACGCTCAGCGGGGTTCCTACTTTCGCCTTTTGAAGAGGCTCTGCCTGTCCAGGTCAAGCGGTGGTCCCAGGGGGCGCATCGCATCCACGTCCAGCAGAGATTCCACCTTCGTCTTTCCAAGAGACTCTGCCTGTCCAGGTCCAGCGGTAGTTCCCGGGGTCGCACCGCATCCATGTCCAGCGGGGGTTCCACCTCCGTCTGTCCGGGAGGCTCCGTCTGTCCAGGTCCAGCAGTGGTCCCAGGGGTCTCACCGCATCCACGTCCAGCAGTGGTCTCGGAGGTCGCACCGCATCCTGTCCAAGAGTCCACGTCTTCGTCCCGTCCTGTGTCTCTAGAGTCTTCGTCCCCGCCTGTATCTCCGTCCCCACTGACCCCAGGTTGGTCATCGGCAGCCATCACTGCAGGTCCGGTCCTCGCCCATCGTCGCCGGCCCCCCAGACTCCTCTGGCCCTTCTTCCTGGTCCCCCTCCTCCCGCCCTGCTCTGGTTTCCTGTGGGCGTCCGGAATCCCATCTCCATCCATTGGCAGAAAATTGAACTCTCCTTGCCTTTTACCCTGCCTGATCTCATCTTCCGGACGTTGTTTTCACTCCTGACCCCTGCCTTGAACTCTGCCCGTCACCATGACCCTCGCCCTGTCTGCTACCTCGTCTCCAGCCTGTTCCCTGTACCTGCTTGTCCGATCTGGTTTTGACCCTCGCCTCCTCCCCGACTGTCTCCAGCATTGTCCTCTGGTAACTCCACATCGAATAAAGACTTTTTATTTAACTTTTTACTGTGTTTGGCATCATCACGGGTCTTCTGAATTCTGCTCGTGACACATTATCGTAATTTCTCTTATCGAGATAATTTTTCCCACATCAATAAAATTGATAACAAAATGAAAAGATGTGTGTAGGTTGGCAACGTTCGTGTCCCTTTAAGGAGCTGTACCACCTTGAGTCATGTAAAAATTGACTCAACGTAACACGTGACAGCCCCACCTAGCGGACAACTGTTGTTTCTGCGCATACTTGTAGTTATCGTCCATTTGTCGTTGTCGAGGTGAAATCCTCAATATATCGTGATAATGATTTTAGGCCTTATCGCCCAGCCCTAGGACACATTCATAAAAGTGTGTATTAGGTCCTAAGAAGTCTGATGATTGCATGTGTATTAAACAGATGCTGTCTTAAGACCCTTCAACGTAAATATGATGGTGAGCTACAGTGCTTGGGTAGGCTGTGATGTTTAAACCAGGCTCAGGTGTACTGGGGGGACCAGAGAACACCTCCCCCCACATACACCAGTACAGCTGCAGCTTGGATGGTCCAGCTTTGGTATGTTCTTACTGTGTTGCTTTTTTTAAACACAGAAAAGGTTTCTTTTTACCTTGCTGACAGTTTTGTTTGTGGCTGCAAACTTGCTCAGAGCTGACGCTGATGGTGGCGTCACTTCTTACTCCCGTTTATCCATGGGCAGCAGAGGACGTTGTCGCCCTCTGCTGCCCGCTCTCCCCTCTTCGATGATGCAGTCCCATGCACGATCCAATGTGTAGACCCCATCGTCTCTGTTCATGGTCCCACATCCACGTCTCCTTATCTCTATAGCTTCTTTTATCCATCTTTTGCATTTCTGTTGTTCGGTGTTTATGATCCTTGTGTTGTCCCAGTCAGCAGCAAGGTAAAAAAGAAACCTTTTCTGTGTTTTTAAAAAGAACCAACAGTGCAGTTGTATGGTCCGGTTCTGCTGATCTTGTAGTTGTTCAGAGCAGTGATGTACTGGAAGACGAGATGAACGGTTCTCTACAAGGACTCTGTTCTCTTCAGTCACTTTGAAAACCTGTTCAAAACATTCGATTCATTCGTGAACGTCCCATCACTCGGTCGGGGTGACTCAATGCGGTCTTCTGTTTCTGCGGTTCTTCTGCATCAAGGCTCAGCATGTTGTGGTGCAGAGATGCTCCTCGCTGTCATGTGATCAGCGGTTTGTGTGGTTGATACGCAGTTGAACTGGTGTAGTGAAGAAACGTAGCCAGTAGAAGTGGTGTGTCCCAGAGAGCCTCCAGTAAAAGCCACTTTCTCAATTAGTGATATTGGGCTTTATGAAGATATTTATTCTCTAAAGTTGTAGCTCTTTTTGTCACATTTCAGTAAAAGTTGAATTGATCGAACTAATCCGTTTTTCCCTCCTTAGTATTATGCACTGCAGATTCTGGAGTCGGTCATCAAAACCCGTTGGAAGATTCTCCCCAGAAGTCAATGTGAAGGTAAATACAAGTCATCAGGACAAAAGGTGCTTATTGTTAGCAATGTAACACCGTACAGCAGTAGACCACCCTACCCATTCAGTGCTTTTACATGAAGCCGGTGTTTGCTTTAGGCAGATTGTAATGTTTCTGGTAATTGTCTGTTTTCCTGAGTAAAGTGTTTTGTTTTCAGGAATCAAAAAATATGTTGTTGGGCTGATTATTAAGACTTCTTCTGATCCTGCCAACATGGAGGTAAGGAAGCATCTTCCTCAGTAGTTTTTATGGGTGCGCCGTCTTGTGTTTCCACACAATTCCATTTTGATTTTAATTCTTTCGATTTAATTATTAAACCATTATGGTTACCATTGTTTTTCCACATTGAATATTCTACAGAAAAATCAAACTATGTGCTGCCGGTTTATTTTCCTTTTCTTGTTTCCTGTGCAGCTATAAAGCGAACAGAATAGATGCCTTAAGTGCCAAAAGCAAGCCTCACAGGTGGAGCATTACAGATTCAGCCATAAGACCTCGTCTGACAGCTTGCTGCAGCTGTAAACGCAATTATCCGTAACCATCGAGACCACGAAGTTGAACAACATACAGCTAATCACGGCGTAGCACCAAAGTTTACTAACGCTAAGCCCTCATAATAAGGATTAACCAGTTTAACCATTAACCACAATGTGAAACGCTACGGTTAGGACGTCTCCAACACCGCAAAAAAAAAAAAAGACGTTAGCGGACCAAAGCGAAAGTGGTATTAGTAAAATTAAGTTAAGTATAGGGCTGCAGCTATCGAATATTTTTGTAATCGAGTACTCTATCGAATCTTTTTTTCGATTAATCGAGTACTCTAATAAATTACCCTTTTGTGTTTTTAAAACATTATATCAAATAGCATGTTATAATTATGAAAGACCTCTTAAAATGAGCAAGCAGTTGCCAGTTATTCTTCAAGTTTTATTCAAAATTAGTTTTCAAAACTTCAGCACTTGAACTTTACTTCACAGTAAACAAATGCCTGTGCAAAAAATAAGTAAACAACCTGGGCAGATTTTTCCCCTCGTGCGAGAATCTGCTAACCTGCAAGCCAGAGGATAACTGTTGAAGTAGCGCTGCGAGCGGCTGCGGCCCAAACAGAACCAGAACCGCTCACGGCGCATGCGCAAACAGCTCGCCGGCTGTTTCCCTATTAACACACGTCCGTTTTAATTTCTACACTTTTTTCTCACACAATAACAAGGATTGTCGAGAAAGCATGTTTGCCGTGGTTTTGTCAAATTATACTGATCACAAAACATTTATTTACTTTCTTTCGTTTTCCTCTGCCACTCTCATAAATACCCGTGTCCTCCTGCAGAAACCCCGAGGGACAACAAATATCAATAACACAATAAAAAGTCCGACGTGTTGTGTAAAACTATTTTTAGCACATTTTAAGTTCGACGTGTTGCTACCAGACGTACGGTGTGAGCTGAAACTGAGTGCTACAAATGAAAAAGTCGCACAGTGTCTGCAGAATATATAGACATACAGGCTAAAATGCATTATCTTGTAGAGGCTCTGAGTCCGCTTGCAGAAGTGACATTTACATGTGGATGTTTCCTGGTCAGGTGCTGCAGCATGGAGGATGTGGTGTTGTGGTTGGCTAAATCCATTTTACAGTATTTACACTGGACTACGTTTTCCACCTTACGACGTGAAAAATGGTCCCACACCTTTGACATTTTGTGTCTTTTTCGCACTCCACCGGGGTACAAGTTGTCCGCCATGGCTTAAGAGAAAGTTAAGTTACATTCGCTACTCGCGTGTGCATTCAGTCCAGTGGGCACGTGCGTCACTTATTTCGGTCCGGGTGAAACATGACCCCGGGCGATTGCAAAGCCATGAATTAATTAAATATGAATTAAACGAATCCTCGAGGCAGAGAATTTGACTCGAGGATTTTTTGTACTCGAATTATTCGAGGTACTTGAGGAATCGTTTCAGCCCTAGTTAAGTAATATTAGAACAGTCCAGTGATCGACGGGTTATATTGTGCTGTTCTACGTTTCCCCTGTATCTGTCTTCAACAAACAAGTATGGCAAGCCATTTTAACATTTAGTCAACTACACCTCTCTGCAATTCCTGTTCGACATAGCAGTAATATAATTTGTCCTTGTCCAAATAATATTCTTACTGATATTAAAGATTTGAACAAGTAGAATGACACTTATGTAATAAGTACTATTCATAATAACACCGGCACTAGTAGGAATTTAGCATCTTAATTCATTGAGGTGCCTCCATCCTTCTGTGCTAACCCTGACCAGCTGTCAGTTAAACCTTTTTGTCTTTTTACAGAAACTCAATAAAGGCAATTAGGCAAAAATAATTAAATTAATGATTATTTCTGATAATCAGCCACTGTGAAAGTTTAACATGCAGGCTGAACATGAAAATAGTCTCCTACACCTATCTCCTGCATTAGCTTCTGATAGAAAATAGACGGTGAAACTAGATAGAAAATCCTGACAGATCTACGTCACACTGTCACTAATATTCATGGACTCGCCCATCTTTACTCACGACGGGGAAGGCTGATGTTGGTTTAGCGTCCGGACAACAGCACAGAACGTCTCGGCAAATAGAAGCTAACTATTAGCATTAGCATCTCCACCACACAGCAGAACTCCTCCAGGCTTGTGTTTATTGGTGGAGGTAAAACATAAACGTTGCAAGTCAGTAGTAGTGAATTTTTCTAAGCTAAATCTTTGAAAAGGAACAAAAGATATTTCAGGAGCTCAAAACCTTTTGTAAAAAGTATTCATGCCTTTTATCAAGAACTTGTAGAATGTGTTTGTGATTAATGTGTTCATACAGATGTGAAATTGATTCATGTAAAATAATCGTGAAACTGATTATTTCTCAGACTAATCGTACTACCAACATTTATAATCGTTGCAACCCTGCTCGTATTACGTCTTTAAATGACGTACACGAAACAGTTGTTTTAGATCCAGAGCTTCTGGGTGTAGATCAGAAGCTCGGATCACCAGACAGTCCACAGGGACTGTAAAGGACGGGCTCCTTTTGGAGTGACTCACTAAAAACTTGGGAAGCGTGGCTTCAGTCAGGATAACTAACAAGTTATGTTCAAGCTAAAGGGAAGTCAGACGGCCCACTTTATATCGTGCTCACATAATCTTTGTGAAAACACGTGATGGCACCACATTACCGCCACAGACTGACCTCTTCTGAAGGCTCCCTGGTGCCACCTCAGCTTTGCTGCAAAATTGCACCATAGTTTTAGGAAGAGGATGGAGTTGCGGGAATTTTTTATTATTCCTTCCTTGATTGTTGGCTGGTTAGGAGGAACAGCCCTTGTCATCTTTTCATCTAACCCAGGATGGAAACGTTTATGGTGCTGTCGCATGGTGATCGTGTTGTTGTCCATCCATCCATTTTTTGAACCCGCTTTGTCCACCCAGGGTCGCGGGGGGGCTGGTGCCTATCTCCAGCGGTCAACGGGCAATCAGGCGGGGTACACCGTGGATGGAGAGCCAGTCCATCGCAGGGCAACACAGAGACACACAAGACAAACAATCATGCACACACACACACACCTAAGGACAATTTGGACAGACCAATCAACCTAACAGCCATGTTTTTGGACTGTGGGAGGAAGCCGGAGTACCCGGAGAGAACCCACGCATGCACAGGGAGAACATGCTAACTCCATGCAGAAAGATCCCAGGCCGGGAAGCGAACCCAGGACCTTCTTGCTGCAAGGCAACAGTTCTAACCACTGTGCAGCCCGATAGTGTTGTTGTATTTTATTTTAGTTTTGCACAACTTTCCATCAATCCTGATGAGTAAGTTCCACACTCAGTGGCTGAAACCATAGACATGAGAGTACATAGACGCCCCTTTTGGCGCTAAAGAGCGTAACAGCGTCGCCTTCACATTGGATGGGTCTCCTCACGCTTCAAATTCAATGCAGAGAGAGCAACTTTGCCTGTTTTTGTGCTGCCTACAGTTACAACAGCCGGCGTACAATTAAAAACGAATAACGTGGGATTACTAGTTTTGGCCTACCTGATTTTATATTAAAATTAATTTTTGTTATATTTATATTTTCATTACCTTGTGTCTGTTGTTGTGAAAAAGCTTGACCAAATGTGTTGTTTACTTTGGTAAGCACCTTCCTCAGTAGAAACTAATGCGCTGGGGGCGAATGAAGACATCTAAAATGCAATTTTGAAAAATGCAACATTAGTAGGCGTTGCCTGGTGAACCGAGAGGGCGAACATGTTCTAATGAGAGCCGGACTCGGCACCAATTCAGAGCCGGGCCAGCTCTGCTGCAGGCGCATCAGTGCTGAGATTAACTGGCACAAAAACTCAACCCGAACCCGTCTGTGACGAGCATTATCTCACACACAACACTCGCTCTGAGCCTGATGGCAGTGTGGACTGATATTAGCTATATCATATGACTCACTCATTTGGGGTTATAGCTGCAATTACAGGTTGGGAACGACCTTTAGAAGCTGTTAAAAGTAATTATTTCGCTTACTCACCTCAGATTGGGCCCAGAATCTCAATTTTGGGGAAGCAGCAGTCGGCGGGATCAGGCTAATTACTGGAACGGCTTGGACTAATTTGTGAAACGCTCTTCAGACCAGCATAACCCGGTTCAACCTCCATCAAGTTGCTGAAAGAGTCGCATGTAAAAACACTTAACTACAAAAGCTAACAGCCAAGCTACTGGAATTCAATAATCATAATACTAAAAGCTTTGCTGGGACTCAATGCTAATGCTAACTACAGCTAAGCTACAGCATAAACACAATAGAACATGGACTGGAGTTGGATTTGGGTGGTTTTTCTTTTGCTCCACAAAGGGTCCCAAATCCCAGCACAGCTCCAGACGGATCTCCTGTCAGCATGCTCACAGGACCGCGTTTACTCCAGAAAGCAGCTCTGACGAGTCCTTAATACGAAACTTTATCTAGCACGTCTGAAGCAAAATCACGAGGCGTTTCACAAGGACAAACGTAAAATTATATCAAATAAAAAATTATGTTAATGATTTAACTATTAGAACGCCATTAAAATGGGAAGGGTAAAAATTGTGATTACAAACATGAAAATCCAGTCTACAATGTCAGATTACCGTCGGATGTTTTAGGAACTTTTGTGTGACTCGGTTTTCCACTTAAATAATTACTTTATGGGTAAAATAATCTGTGAATGAGGAACGTTTGGATTACCGAGACCTTTGGTGTTGTGGTTCCCTCGTTCTACCAGTAGATGCTGTTCATACCATCGACATATTTACTGGACATATATACGTTTCCATAGGCTGCAATTATACGTTTTTGTGCCAAAATGGGAGGTGGCCACCACCGCCATTTTGACCGTGTCACAGGTTCCATTAGGGGTGGGCAATATAAACGATGTAAGGTAGAAACGATATAAAATTGGGTAACGTTAGAATTTTTGGCTATATCGCAATACCGCGATAACACGACCTCACGAAGATGTGCACCCTGCTGACACTGGGGCAACAGAATGGCAGTGACTGCAAGCATGGAGTGGGCGGAGGAGGAGGCCTATATGTCTCAAGTGGCATAAATTTGCCACATGAGGATATTTAAAAGCCATTTTGACATATATAAACAGAGGAAAAATATATTGCAATATATATCGTCACCGCACATGATTCAGATTATATCGCAATATAGATTTGAGGCCATATCGCCCAGCCCTAGGTTTCATCAAGCCCAGACGATTCCACAAAAGGGAAAAGTGGTGGAGCTGAGGGTGGGGCTGTAAGGCTGGGATCAAATGACGACACCCTTCACACTGAAGCAATGTAGCTACAAGCTAACCCAAAGCTAACGCGGAGGTGGGAGCTAAGCTAACGGAGGTAGCTACCTAGCTACAAGCGGAGTTAACTGTGCACAACACCGGAGCTTCTGAGTCAGAGGTACGCCGGGCTGACCGCTGGTAAAAACGGGTGGAACACGGAGGTCTCCATCCGAGAGCTCCGCAAGCCGGCAGCCGCGCAGCAGACAAGCGCCGCTGCGATAAGAGATGCGCCGAGCTGCAGGGAGGGAGACCATACCGATAGTCTGAACCCAGCTCCACCAACATGTTATATTTCAACCCATTTTCAAAAATGCAGCATTATGTTAAATGCACTGGGTTTTACCCTATTACATTTAAATGTCATGGTTAAACAGTTCACGTTAAAATCTAAGCTCAGCTAGTGCAAGAGCGGCAGTGACCTAAAATGCCCCGAATTGTGGGGGCTTGGTTCATATGCATGGTCTGAGGTTTTCTTTTATTTAGGAAAGTTTCCGCGCACGAGTAAAAAATGATTAATATCACACAATGCACAAATGTGTTCCTATTCACAAAGTACGCACATATCTGTGCGTGAGTACGGTTGATAAATGTTGCCCCAGGATTGTTAATTTCTACTAGGAACAATCGAATTATAGATATCTATATTACATTTCCAGTCTGCCTAAAAAGTGTTAAAAAGGTCACCTTAGGTTTTTAGGGAGTCTGAGATTTCTCAAACTCTATTCCTACTAGAACACTTGTTATAATGGATATCCTTAATTATAATTTCTACTAGTAACAACATGGATGCTGATGTCATCATCAGCATTTTTGACTATTAAAAATACAATTCGGACTAAGCTAAATCAAATTATTGTTATATAATATAGAAGTTCATACGAAGTCCGATTGCTGATTAAATTTTAAAACGGATTGCTGCTCACTTCCTGTGTGTCCTGCTTGCCACCTCCCTCCAATCACAGTGATCGGAGGTATGTGTGCATGGTGCTGCGTTTGTATCATCATTGTATGTTAAAAGAAAGCCAAAAAGATTGTTGATCTTTGTTCTTCTTTATGTTTAAGTTTGTGTTTCTGTTTTGCAGAAAGAGGGCGTGTACATTTCCAAGCTGAACATGATCCTTGTCCAGGTAAGCGTCCCGTCTAAAGAGAACCTGTCAGAACTGAAGTGACATGCTGGTGACGTAATGTGCTTGTGTTCTCTGTTGGTGAAGATTCTGAAACAAGAATGGCCCAAACACTGGCCCACCTTCATCAGTGATATTGTTGGAGCCAGTCGGACCAGCGAGAGCCTCTGTCAGAACAACATGATCATCCTGAAGCTTCTTAGCGAGGAGGTGTTTGACTTCTCCAGTGGCCAGATGACCCAAGTGAAGGCCAAACATCTCAAAGACAGGTCAGTGTTTTAAAGATGCTGTCTTCATTAAAAGGAAGTGTTTGTGGGTTAAAGATCAACTTCACTGAAAAAACATTTAATTATAATTCTGATTATATTTGGTCACTCAGAGCAGGGTTCATACAAGGTCTCAAAGTCCTAAAAGCATTGAATTTATGAAATAATACCTTACAAGGTCTTGAAATTTGATATCTGGGTCTTAAAAGGTGTGTTAGTGCTGAAACGAATACTCGAATGGTTTGAATAAATTCCTCAAATAACTTACTGATTTGAGGTATCGCTTAAAGCGTGCGTTGCAGCTTGAACACATTTTACTGGCAAACAATGTGGTCATCTATGTGCCATGGAGTCAAAATGGAAACCAGCAGAACTAGATGGTAAAATAGTACAGTCAAGAAAGGTGGCATGTTCACAATCAAGTGGAGGCCAGAAAAAAACAAGTTCAAATGTTAACATTTCCAATAGCAACAGGACATATTAAAGTGACAATGTGTAGTTTTTAAACCATTAATCTGTAGAAAAATCCTTCAAAATGTTGTTGAAAATGGATGGGATGGTGCCCAGTATTTGAAAAATATTGGCGGCTTTGTAACATGTAACCATACCATGCCACCTTTATTTATATAGCACTTTAAAAACAGCCATACGGCTGACCAAAGTGCTGAACAGTCGCACAATAATGGGCTCGACACACGGGAGGCGACAAACGACCGCGATCAGCGAAATTTGTCGCTGTCGCTTTTATAACCTGACACACGGGAGGCGATCCGCCGCAGCGGTCAGCGGCAAAGCCGTCTACGCGTTCTGTTCCGTGGCGAAATCGAAACTTCCGTTGTTTTGTTTGGCTGTGTCAGGTTGGAGGGAATTAAGGTTATTTAAGCTGTTCAGAGTTAATAAAGTGGTAGATATGATGTTTCACAAGGTGCTGCTAGAGTTATGTGAAATCTTACTTCTGATTTTACTATAAAACATAATAATAATCAACTTCTCCTCCATGTTTGCTTCTGAGATGTGCGGAGCATTATGTCCGCTCATTGGTCAGTGAATGAAACCTCCGTTGATTGGTCCTCGTCCGAGCGACAGCGATGAAAAGTTGAAAATGTTTCAACTTTCTGGGATCGCGTCGCTGGGTCGTCCGTGCACGACACGTGCACGAGCGCAAAACTTAACACGCACGTTTTTCGCGTTTCGCTTAGTAGGAGGGAGACCCGCGATTATCGCTTTGTCGCGCATGTCTCATTGAAAATGAATGGAGGAGAGGCGATGTCGCCTCCCGTGTGTCGAGCCCAAAACAGAGATAGAAAACATAAAACAGTACTATGAAATACAACCAACAATAAAAAAGAGAAGCCGATAAAAAAGTACCAATAAAAACCTTACAATGGATGGTAAAATAAGAGTAGTAAAAACCAAACTAACGGCTAACTATTAAAAGCAAGAGTAAAATAGTGTGTCTTTAGTCTAGACTTAAAATCTGCCAAGGTGGATGCCAGTCCAACTGTGACTGGAAGTTCGTTCCACAGTTTAGGACCGGCGACAGAGAAAGCTCTTTGTCCGCATGATTTGACCCTTGTCATGTCAACATTGTGTCCTGTAGAAAAACCCAATAGTGACAGCGCTAACAAGGGTCCTCAGTCATGAGCACTGCTCTCTGCAACATCTGGACATAGCCAGCAGCCATCTGATCCCCCTGCACTTCCTGAAGCTCCACTGAAGGAAAAAACACAAACCATTATTGCCCCCGCTCCAATGTGGCTATAGAAAACATCTGAGGTGGGATCTGCTTGTCATGCCAGTAATGTTGTAAAACATCAGGACCATTGACGTTAAACTTCTTCTGATCAGAGAGCAAAAGTTTCCATAGCAACCTTCTTAAAACGTTCCATGTTTGGTGTTCTTGTAAAGCCCAAACCGTCAGTTCTGTGGTGTTCAAGAAGTTTGCTTAGTTATAAAAGTGTTAGTGCTAGCGGGGGCAGGATAGGTGGTACTGGAGCTCAGCGAACCACACTGAGCTCACTGATCAGTGAGCTGTGCATCTTGTCTAATCTATTTTTCGTAGCGCTGTTCCAGCCGATAAGATCAGCGTTTGGTGTTTATGAGGAAAATATTCATGTGTCCCAACTTGATCAGTGATTTCTTTACAAGCATGTCTTCATCCATGCACTCTGCAACAGCAGCTGCTGCGATTCGTCTAGTGGTGACGCAGATTGACAATATTCATGCAAAAATGGAAGCATTGTCGGCCTTGTTTCTCCTTTGAAGCTTTAAACTGTCATGCTCCTCGACATCGTCAGCAAGCTTGTCCGGTTAGCCGGTAGTAAATATCTTTACATCATAGGCCAAAATCATACTGATTATATATGTTACCATTTGTACCGTGCAATACTGTCTACTATTAAATAGGAATGGCTTTTCTTTCTTTCTTTTTTTGCCTTTGCCATCAGACCATCATAACCATGTGACTACCTGACAGAAAATGACATGAATCCATAAATATGTATTTATGTGGTTTTCAATTAATTGCTGCTCAGAAAATATTTTGTCTTACTCCCATTTCTTCTTATTTAGAACCTTGTTACGGTCAACCATGCAAAATCAAACCATGTTGTGGTTGCACAGCTCTTCTAGTTGAAATCCTAAGTTCCTGTTCGACTATTAGATGATTCTGAGTTTCTTCAGTTTATTCTTGTCATCAAATGAGTAAATGAAGAAATCTGTGTAATGTGTCGTTAATGGAAGGTTTATCAAAATGGTTTTAGTATGGAATGAACAGATTGCCAGGAATTTTAGACTGGCAATCTGTTTTCTGCTTGGCTAGCCTTTATCTCATTGGTCTTCAATGAGGTATTTCAATGCCATAGCTATTTCTCTCAAAAGCTGGGTGTTATCAAAAACAAATAATAAATTAATACTTGAAATGCATGAATATGTATTAAAAACATGTATGAAATGATTTGTGTCTAAGGCATGATCCCTGCTCTCCGTAACAATCGTCTTCTCTCGTCTTGTAGCATGTGCAACGAGTTTTCGCAGATATTCCAGCTGTGCCAGTTTGTGATGGTAAGTCTCTTCCCTCCGGGCCAAAGGCGGGTTCAACAAGACCCGATTTTCTTCTGGCACATATCACTAGAAATGAACAATCGTAGTACAGGTAGAACTGATACTAGAGGACCAGTCATAAACCGGAGCTGGGTTTGTTGAGACCTTGAATCATGTTTACATTGTTATGTACTACAAGTAGAACAAACAGGTATGATGTAATTAATGTGCTGCAGGAGACGCTTGTTCGGGCAGATAAAGCCCATAACCCTGCCAGCTATTGTACGTGCAGAAATCCACCACTGAAAACATGCTCTGGACTGGTGCTGATATTAGTTAAACACATCATGTGATCATGAACAGGTTTTGTATTGGTCACCAGGTGACTGACCTGGTTCATGGGCACTAGCTTTGTGGTGGTGAAAGTCCTAAATCTGAACTAACCTTTCTGGGACACTAATCCTGCTTCGTGATGCACGCGTTGGGCGTTTTGGTTTGTTGTTCAGTAAGGCTCACCATGAATTCTACCCTGTGTGTCTTCAGGAAAACTCTCAAAATGCACCGCTGGTCCACGCCACGCTGGAGACTCTGCTGCGGTTCTTGAACTGGATTCCTTTGGGATACATTTTTGAGACCAAACTTATCAGCACGCTTGTCTACAAGGTAAAATAAATAAATAAAAACGGATTCACCCCACATCAAGGAACGTCTGCTGAGATGGGCAATGGCACTTATTAGAAATGTTGGAGAGATTTTTAGTTTTTGTGGAGTTTTAACTTCTGTCATATAAACTGGAAGCAGATTTCCAGTCTGGCTATAGACCCGATGTCAAAACTCTGGTTTTGGTTTTTTGTTTCAGTTTTTGAACGTGCCCATGTTTCGCAACGTTACATTGAAATGTCTGACAGAGATCGCTGGAGTAAGCGTCAACCAGTACGAGGAGCAATTTGTCAACCAGTTCACCCTCACCATGTGTCAGCTCAAACAGGTACCACGTTCTTTTGAGTCCAACCTGCCATTTCCTGCACACTCTGGATGATACCCACTGAATCTAAGTGAGTTCTTGTTTGATCAGATGCTGCCGCTGAACACCAATATCAAATTGGCATTTGCCAATGGGAAGGACGATGAGCAGAACTTTATTCAGAACCTGAGTCTGTTTTTGTGTACATTCCTAAAAGAACATGGCCAGCTCATCGAAAAAAGGCCCAACCTGCGTGAGACACTCATGGAGGTAAGAGGGCAGCATCAGAACCTTTCTGCTCAATTATTTATTTATTGCGCACACACACACACACACATATATGTATATATATATATATATTATATATACATATATATATATATATATATATATATATATATATATATATATATATATATATATATATAAAGGTCAGGCCACCATTTTGCAGATGAGTTGTCTCTGGAGCGAACAGGTTACCTTACACTGTGTACTGATCCTCCTAGTGCTCATACTTCGTAGTGCTCTTCAGAAATAGCTTAAGTGTTGTACCAATTTAATATGCGTAGCCCCACCACTCCCCCATGTTTATTTTTTTTCTTGGGTAGTGTTTGTTTCTAAAAGAGCAGAAAATAATGTAAGAATAACCAGTCATACAACCAAGTGTTTTCTATGTATAGTGTTTCTCGCTCAATAACTTTTTTTTATTACCCAAAACACACCTCAGCCCAACCAAAAGAGCCTCAAAATGCCAGCATTATTACAACATAAATGGGACTTATTTTGGTAAACATCACAAGTTACTCGATGGAGCAAGAAGTCCGATCCATTATCCTTTAGTTACTCCACCTAGAGTAATTAAATCTGAACTCATCACCATGTTCTCTTGTCAGGCCCTACACTACATGCTGCTGGTGTCCGAGGTGGAGGAGACGGAGATCTTTAAGATATGTCTGGAGTACTGGAACCACTTGGCAGCAGAACTCTACAGGGAGAGTCCATTCTCCACTTCCAGCACTCCGTTGTTGTCTGACGTCCCTCCTCGAAGACACCTCTACTTGCCCGTGCTCTCCCAGGTCAGTCAACAGTTTCTGCAAGTCATTAAAGGGCATTAAGTCATTCATTTAATTTAGCCAAAATTAGGCCTTTAAGGTGTGGATGACTCGTTTAATCAATACATTTGCGGTGGTCTCTAGTTGGAATTAATGCCTTGCGGGCAGAACTCTGGGCACAAAAAAGCTCACACACCACTGGCCCACCAGGACCAGTTTGCGACATCAGAGCTGTGCTTCAAATGGAGGATTTGGAGTCTTATTTCTTGACATTTAGACATCTTGCCTTAGATTGGATAAAAACAACGTGACTCTACAACTAACTCTGCTTGGGGACATGGATGTTTTTATCTCCACAAATGACAAGTCTGGAGGAGCTTCAGCAATGTATTTGAGTTGCTAATGCTAGCACTCGTGGGGCAGGGGGGACGAATAAACTGAGGAAAGCACTTCAAGGCCACAGAGCAGCAAAGCATTTGTGAAGCCAACACGCACAAACTTGAGGCGGATGGGCTACAACAGCAGAAGACCCCACCGGGTTCCACTCATCTCCACTACAAACAGGAAAAAGTGACTACAGCTTGCACCAGCTCACCAAAATTGGACGGTTGAAGACTGGAAAAATATTGCGTGGTCTGATGAGTCTCGATTTCTGTTGAGACATTCAAACGGTAGAGTCAGAATTTGACGTAAACAAAATGAGAACATGGATCCATCATGCCTTGTTACCACTGTGCAGGCTGGTGGTGGAGGTGTCATGGTGTGGGGGATTTTTCTTGGCACACTTTAGGCCCCTTAGTGCCAACTGGGCATGGTTTAAATGCCACGAGCTACCTGAGCATTGTTTCTGACCACGTCCATCCCTTCATGACCACCATGTACCATCCTCTGATGGCTACTTCCAGCAGGATAATGCACCATGTCATAAAGCTCCAATCATTTCTGATTGGTTTCTTGAACATGACGATGAGTTCTCTACTACAACAGCCTCCACCGTCACCAGATCTCAACCCGATAGAGCATCTTTGGGATGTGGTGGAACGGGAGCTTCGTGCCCTGGATGTGCGTCCCACACATCTCCATCAACTGCAAGATGCTATCCTGTCAATATGGACCAACATTTCTAAAGATGCTTTCAGCACCTTGTTGAATCAACGCCACGTAGAATTAAGGCAGTTCTGAAGGTGAAAGGGGGTCAAACACCATATTAGTGTGGTGGTCCTAATAATCCTTCAGGTGAGTATATTTTCTGCAGTAATTCATCTGGGATGTGAGGATGTTCAAAATCAGTCAGTTTGACATAAATGAACAGAACAAAATAATAAATGGTATATTGTGATATAGATTTTAGACCATATGGTTCATTCCTACCCAAATGAAAAATAAACCAGCTTTTATCAAGCTTTTATTTTTACACAGGCACAACCAGTCTCTCTAACCAGGACCAGCAGACAAGGACAGTTAAGTGTCTTGTTCAAGGACACGACTCTGACAGAAGCCATTTTAACAACAGTGCTGTCAATTTGCCGTAATGCTGAAACGGTGAAGATAAACTGATGTTAAATTCAGCTGAAAGAGAAACTGGGAGGAAGCTTTGGTCCATCTTAAGTTACAGGAGGTCTTGTCTCCTATCTGCTCCTCCAGAGACAGCATGGACATGAGGGTCACACAGGACAGGTTAGTGGAAAGGTTTGTAGTTAGCTGGTTAGTGAAGGAGATCCATCAGCTGGGTAATTTAATCCTAATCCAGCCCACAGCCTTCTGCTGGTGTTATTATCAGGAAGAATAAAACACACATCTTAAATATTATTGGAAGTGTAGAATTTGTTTTATGTTTTATTCTTTTCTGCATCAAACAGAACTTGATTCATTCTCCAACATTTCAGAAATGAACCACTGGGTTCAAATAAAATAACAAACTAAGTCAAACATTTCATTTGGTGTTATTTCTGACATCCTTCAACTGTGGCATAAATATCTGACTCTAGAGCTGCTCAGAGACATTAAACACTCATATATGAACCCATTATGGATTTTATTATTACATTATGTGTCCTGTAGGTTTTCAGTACTTATTAAGATTTTGCGAGATTTTGTAAAGCGTGTTTTTCTCAGCCTGAGGCGTGGTGTTGAACCAGGAAACAGATGTTTTACTTTGTTAAATCTTCTTTAATGTTTAAATGTTTTGTCCTAACCTGTTGGGAATGGAGAGCTTTTGAGGGATGGCAGGTTGTGTCGATTACGTTTTTGATAAATAAATATAAATAAAAATCAATTATCTGACATCTTCTATTTATCGATGAAAACAAATCAATATGAAATAATCGTGATGCATCGGGATATCGAATTGAATTGAATCATTGACCCAATAATCGTAATCGAATCGGGAGACAAGTGAAGATTCACACCTCTATTTATTAGTCCCACAGTGGGTACATTCACTATTACAGCAGCACACACACTTAGAGAATAATAACAAGATTACAGGTAAAACTGAGATTCCAGCCATGTTTGCTTTGATAACTTCAATAACTTCATGCTGATGAACACATGAACATCCTCTGTTTAGTGGATGCAACTACATTGTGAAGTTAGCTTAACGTGGTAGATGACTTTTAATTGGCAAAATACAATAACTGGTAATATTATGAATGACCCTAGATGGAATTTAAATAATTTTACATTAATTATAACTAAAAGTTCCTAGGAGACAAAGGAAACCCTGGAACCTTTTCAGATTGCATTTGCACACCAACCTTTTGGAGGAGGGCATGAAGAAACTGCCTGCGACAGTGCGATTTGTTAAGTGTCTGAATAACACCATGAAGCTAAACTCACGGCTAAGCTAACCGGACTCATGAGGCAACTGTGCTCATTACCTGCTTAACGAGAATACTTTTGATGAGTGATCAAATCACAGGTATCACATCGAGGCTGCTAGACAGGCACAGAGTCTGGATGTGAAGAAGTTTTACTGATGGAGAATTTCCGTCTGTCCAGACAAACCTTATATGTCTGTCTCCACCTGAAGCCTGCCCTGGAGAGAATGGACAAAACGTATCTGCTGTAGTTCAAAAACAGCTGCTGCGTGCTTCCTAACCTCAGTGAGAGTCCAGAGAAGAGTTAAAACAACCAATATCCACAGCCATGTTGGACGTTTATCCGAGAGAACATGCGTGTAGACATGAATTCACACTATTAAAGATGAAATGTTCCTTTGGAAGTTGTCACACTGTTCAAAGTGATGTTTACATGCTAAATAAATATCCCATTACCTGACTCTAAGCTTTGCGTGAGTATTGAAGTCACTAAGAAACCTGCAGCAAGCCCCTAAGGTTACAGAGCATCACTGAAGGTGTCATCTGTGACTGATGGCTTAGAAAAAGGATGAGACGTTCTAAAATGTGCCACGTGAGGTTAAAACGTAGAAAGTAGTGTGTGTGTGTGTGTGTGTGTGTGTGTGTGTGTGTGTGCGTGCGTGCGTGTGCGCGTGCGTGCGAGCTTTAAGTGTCCCAACATCTCTGAATGTGATCCACTTCCTGCTGTAATCTGGACTATTATAGAGCTGAGTAACTGGAGTGGATTACACACCGGAGTAACTGGAGTGGATTACACACCGGAGTAACTGGAGTGGATTACACACCGGAGTAACTGGAGTAGATTACACACCTGAGTATTAGAAAGGTTTAATGTGAGCCAATAGTTCAAATTTGGTGACCAAACTACATCTAGCTGACATCACTCAGAGACAAAGAATACTTCGGACTCATTTATTAACATGCCTGCCACAAACTCAAGTATGTCAGTGCAAAAATAACTGTTCACATGTGCACATGCTTTGTGCACGTGTAGTCACAAGTTCACTTTTATCTGCTAAAGTGTTCACTGCAGACTAGAGACTCTCCATGAGCTTCTGCTGGTGGCTGGCTCCTCCTGAGCTGGATGTTCTTTAGACTCCCTCTCTGTCAGCTCACAGAACTGCATCATGGTATCAAACCGTTCATCTCTCTGCCTCCTGTTCAGCCTCTGACCCGAGCATCTCCTGCAAAGTAGCCAGATGTGTCGCCCCTTTTGTCCTTCCTGGAGAAACCACATAGAGGGTGGAGTTGGGATTAACACACAAGAGCCATATAATCCACAAAACTCTTAATTCTGTGGATTGAGATGTGTATTCCAGGTCTGGGGTGGCAGTGCTGCTGGTAGGTAGTAGGTTGTAGGTGCTGTGTAGATGTTGTAGGGTTAAATATTTTAGAATTAAATCACTTGATGACCACAGAGATTACACATTTACATATATAATGAGACTGTTCTGTACCCGGTGTAAGGTGGCAGAGGCTGAAAGAAGCTACTGACTACGTTTACATGCAGCCAATATCCGGGTTATGATCGGGTTAAGGTCGGTATTCGGGTTTCTGAGTTGATCAGAATAACCCGTTTACAAGCACAAATAGAAAGAGTTACCCCTAACTTGCATAACCCGATGTAAATGCGGACGTTGGGGTAGCGTCAGGACGTGTGGACTACGTCCAGACGCAATATGCGTCATTTCCGGTTCTTCTTGTTCCGGTATCCGTGAAAACAACAACATGTTTCCCAGTTCGGAAGAGATAGCGACCGCGTTTGTTTGCGCTTTAGTTTCCTCGTCACTAAAAGTGTGGTGCTGTGCCGCGACTCGCCATGTTGCTCCCAACTTGTTGTTTACTTCCGGAGTTCTGGCGCATACAAGACGCCTCGCTACTCAAAAGACCAAGATTCCTTGCGAACAGAGCATGCACAGAACACACGCTTTGATGGGGATATCCCGATATGCGTTTACACGACCAAACATTCGGGTTAGAAAAGGGTTACCCCAGGTGTAGTAACCGGGTTTTTAAAAACCCGGTTATGAGCATATCCGGGTTTTTGACGGTGTTTACACGGACCTGCGGAACCGGGTTAATAGTGAATATTCGGGTTTTAAAAGGGTTACTGGCTGCATGTAAACGCACTGATGTCTCTGCAGATGCTGGCTCTGATGCGCCTATAGTCACTGAGACTGTTCCATATTTAATGGGACGGGGCGACACCACACAAAACAAACAAACCAAACATTGGCAGCGATGACGAAGCTTACCAGATGGTGTGAAGGTAAATAAAAATAAGTGAAACCAGCATTTGAAGGAAAATATAATTTAGGTACTCTAAACTCTTAAGTTTAACATTATCATTTGTGAAAGGGACATGATTGCGTAACATTACTGCCACGGTCTCACCACTTATAGACGACCTAAGGCTCCTTGATGCCACTTCAGCATTTTAAAAAGGCTGTTTTAGCGTTTTGTAAAAACGGCTATAGATAAATGTCTAAATCATGTAAAATACTTAAAATTCTGTCTAGTTACCAGTTATTATTTCTTGTCCACAGAAAAAAATCTATCTTGTTGAGCTAAGTTCATGATGCATTTGCATCCACCACCAGAGGATTACACTCCCAGTAGTTTGGATCTGCTGCTGGGAGAAAGGGTTTGGCCTGTCTCTCCACACAAATAGGACAAACAGAATTCCAGTCGGCAGCCACGGTGAAGAGACTCGCTCAAACACAAATGAACATTCTCAAGTAATAAACTTCACAAAACCAAATGCAATGTTTAGAGCAGAACGTTGTCCCAGAGGTTCCCTAACCAGGCAGACATGAGAATACATGTAATGACTGCTTAGAGATGGAGCAAGCTAGTGGCTAGTACTAGTACTATAGTTGATTATGGTTTTCTTCCTCCACGATTCATGGTTGTTCACGTCCGCTTCTTTATACATTGGCTTTTATATTATTTTCCTCGGCTTCAGCAAGCACCCCGGCTCAACAAACTCAACATGCTGCCTAAAACCTGCTCTGGTTGGTTCATTGATGTGTCTGTTGTGCTGACAGAAGCAGACTAGCAAATAGCACGACTCAGTTGGGGAACAAAAAAAATGACACAGAGGAGTGATGGAATGCAAATAGATGGTTCTATGATCTCCAAGCTTTGGTAGATTGTCATCACAATACAACCCTTAACTATCTTATATTGTCCGATATCACAGCCCTTATTCATGGGTGTTTGTTGATGGGATTAAATCAGATTAGCCGATTTCTGCCCTTTGTCACATGCAGTGGTGCTTCAGTCAGTCACACGCTCAGAAAACCATCTTCCCTCTGGCTTCTCTTGTAGGTGCGTCTGCTGATGGTGAGTCGCATGGCCAAACCAGAAGAGGTTTTGGTGGTGGAGAACGACCAGGGTGAGGTGGTCAGAGAGTTCATGAAGGATACAGACGCCATCAATCTGTACAAGAATATGAGGGAAACTCTTGGTAAGATGTGTGGCTAAATGATCATTTCATATTTAGTACAGGACGGCATAATCTCTATAAGTTCATTATGTCGTTCTGACCCAATCTGATTCTTTAACCCATCCTGCAGGACAGTCCAGAAACGTTCCCCTCTCCTGGGTTAGAACACAGTAAAACAAACAAAAATAGTTGGCTTCAGTTAATTTGATCTAGATTTTAATATTAGGTAAACAGCATTTCTCACAGTAATGCTGTTTGAATGCTGAAAGTGACTGCTGAAGCTGCTTCACTCCTTCACTGCCAATGACGACTTAAGTCGTCATTTGCATTTTTTTAATGTTTGAGCATCGGAACGAGCCCCCGCGCTGAGAGAACCAACATCTCAGTCCTCATACGTCACACGTCACGTGATCAGGAAGCAGAACATCCATGTGTTAGGAGATCATTTTGGGCCGTTCCTGTAAAAAAAAAAAAAAAAGTGAGGCGCGAACCGCAAAAGCGTCTGCCGATCACAATTCAACAACGGATTATGAAAGAACGGATAACGCTCCAAGCGCGCGGATTCTTCCTGATGTAAGAGGTGAGTCTCCTTTGTTTTGGTTGTTTTGGCGTCGACATCATCCTAGCGTGCAACGTTCTGTGACTCTTAAAAAAACAGTAAAAACGGTGAGAAACGCTGGCAGCGAATGAGTTAAGAACAGAAGGAAAGCTGAAACTAAGCAAAACATTCAAAACTGGCTGAATGAATTAGACGATTGAGCCGCAAAAGTCCCTAAACCATAGTGACAGAACCTAAAACTAGATGATTAATGGAGAGAATAATTAGCTACCTAATGAGCAGAAATGTCCAAAGAGCACTTGGCTCAAATATCTGAACACGTACTTGAAAATGTTTTGAGTATGAAACAAGCTGAAAAAAATCCCAAATCAGGCCATTGTTTCAGAGAAACTGTTTAAGATAACTAAGATATCCTAAAGCTGAATCAATGGAAGATGCTGAATAAATAAAATATAAAACACAACAAACTTCTCAACTGGTTGGTTCCCACCATGGAAACTGGATCAGTGCTGCAGACTGAACCTGGAGTTTCTGCAGGTCAGTAAAAAGCGTTCTAGCAGAATTCTAACCGAGCCAGTCGGCGCTGAGCAGCGTATGTCACACACCACTGCTCTGTTTCTCATGAACAATAAAACGCTGTCTGAAGCGGAGTTCAGTCCGGCTCTTCCCTCTGTTCTAAATGACTTGGACGTGTCTTTAAAACCACAATAAGAACAACTAAAAGCCTTTCTTCTAAAGAAAAACGGTTGCGCCATTGCCAGACTCCATTTTTGACTACAGCTAAAAAACTACATCGTCACACGGTACAATCAGCATATTTCTGAGCGGTTATTCTTGAGCTGGCTAGTCCCGCCCCACATGTGCCTCTCTGCCTGTGAGTATCCACACTAGCTCTCTGGTAGAATTAAGCAGGACGAGTCTGGTAGGCCAGGCTAGGCAAATGTTACCGAGCCAAACCGGCCTTTATGGACTAACACTGCCACGCGGTTAGCATAGCTCCGTTCTACTTAGCTAACACGCACTGTTCCGATCACGTGGGATTTGCACACTGGTTCTGGGCACTGCTGGATACAATTGCTGGAATTAATTTCAAAGAGGAACTGACTGCTTGTATCGGAGATTTTTGATGCAGTCTGGTAAAATCCGATAGTGTTTTTAGGCTGATATCGAATTACTTCCGATATCGGAATGGGATATCCCTGTCAGTTAATGCAATTAATACCACGGCTTGCCTTCTTTGTCCAAATAATTCTAACATCCAAACACGAACGCACAGAGGACACAACAAAATTTCAAAGAGTCAAAGTGGCCGAACCTCTGTTAACATGAGGCTGAGGCCTTTCCCTGCAGCTAGCACTAGCTCTGACGTGACTCTGATGCTCATTAATAATTCGGTTTCACCTAAATCAGGGGTGCCCAATCCTGGTCCTCGAGGGCCGGTATCCAGCATGTTTTAGTTTTCAACACACCTGATTTCAATCAGCAGGTGATTAACAGGCTTCTGCAGAGCCTGATGAGATGCTGCACAGGTGATTCAACCAGTTAATCAAGTGTGTTGGAGCAGAAAAACCACAAAACCTGCTGGATACCGGCCCTCCAGGACCAGGATTGGGCACCCCTGACCTAAATGGAAGAGTTACCAAAAGGTCTCCCCCTCAGAGTTGTCATGAATATAAACTAGATCTATTAAACCTAAAAAATATATATCTTTTATTTTTAACCAGGCTGCTCACATGTTATTTCTCTAAATAATTTATGTATGTGTAAAAAAAAAATGGTTTTAGGCGAGTTTCTATGTTTCTATAAACATTTTTTTCATGGGAGTCTCTAACTTGCAGTTTGCCCTTTAACATTCATGGACTCACTCATCTTGGCACGCTACAGGGAAGGCTGTTGTTGGTTTAGCGTCCTAGAAACGGCAGAGAACGTCTAACTCAGAGAAGCTAACTGTTAGCATTAGCAACTCTTCAGGCTTGTTGTTTGTGGAGATAAAACATCAGTGTTGCAAGTTTTGGTTTTTAGAACCAAAACAAAATATCTCATTTATAAACAAATGCAAGATGAAAAAACTTGACCGTTGAAAACCAGATTAAACATTTGATGGTAGGACCCAGTTTTTGTGACGTCGTTCTGCCTCTGTTTCCCTGCAGTCTACCTGACACACCTGGACTATGCAGACACTGAGCGCATCATGACAGAGAAGCTGCACAACCAGGTGAACGGCACCGAGTGGTCATGGAGAAACCTGAATATGCTCTGCTGGGCCATCGGGTCGATCAGTGGAGCCATGCACGAGGAGGACGAGAAGAGGTTTCTGGTTACTGTCATTAAGGTGGGCTTCAGTCGAGCACCGCGCCAGATCACCGTCAGACTAACGTGTGGAACAGGTGTCAGCGGGGGCATCTAATGAAGCGCGTTTGCGGTGTGTGTTTTATGTGCAGGATCTTCTTGGTTTGTGTGAGCAGAAAAGAGGAAAAGATAACAAAGCTATAATCGCATCAAACATCATGTACATTGTGGGTCAGTACCCTCGGTTCCTCAGAGCTCACTGGAAGTTCCTAAAGACCGTCGTCAACAAGCTGTTTGAGTTTATGCATGGTGAGAAACCCCAGGTGGTCCAGAAACAACCTGTTGCCTTTAAACCGGACTGAGTGTGTGGTTTTGTTTCTTCCTCCTCCCGATCAGAAACCCATGATGGCGTACAGGACATGGCGTGCGACACCTTCATCAAGATTGCCCAGAAGTGCCGTCGTCACTTTGTCCAGGTTCAGGTGGGGGAGGTGATGCCCTTCATTGATGAGATCCTAAACAATATCAACACCATCATCTGTGACCTGCAGCCTCAGCAGGTGAGCCGTCTGAAACATTTTTCTGGAGCATTTCCTAACTTCACAGATTTTCAGCTGGTGTTGAGTGCTAAGTCGTGGGACTGTTTGTGTGCAGGTCCACACCTTCTACGAGGCAGTGGGCTACATGATCGGAGCGCAGACAGACCAGGCAGTTCAAGAACTTTTGATAGAGAAGTACATGTTGCTGCCTAACCAGGTGTGGGACAGCATCATCCAACAAGCTACCAAGGTAACGGAAACCGCTCCTCCGATGAGTTGGTGGTAATGCTGCCATGTGCTGAGTCATGTTTTAAACTGCTGCAGAATGTAGACATCCTGAAGGATGCAGAAACAGTACGTCAGCTGGGCAGCATCCTCAAGACCAACGTCAGAGCCTGTAAAGCTGTTGGTCATCCTTTTGTCGTCCAGCTGGGTCGAATCTACCTGGACATGCTCAACGTCTACAAATGTCTCAGTGAAAATATTTCCTCAGCCGTCCAGACCAATGGTCAGTTCCGTTCCTGCGCCGTGTTTCTCCTCTTTTATGTGTTGGACGTAACCATTTAGAGCTCATGTTGCAGGCGAGATGGTGACGAAGCAGCCTCTGATCAGGAGCATGAGGACAGTAAAGAGAGAGACTCTGAAGCTGATTTCAGGTTGGGTCAGTCGCTCCAATGACCCTCAGATGGTGAGTCTGGCACGTTGATTTCGTTTCTGTTCTCTAATGAAAAACGTTTAAATGCGGTTTGTCAATAAAATACATTTCAGGAGTACTGGACTGTTCTTATTAGCGCTCAGTCATCAGAGGAACCAGCGCAGTCTGAAATCTAAATAACTAAATCCATCTGGTCAGTTTGACTCGTCTATACCTGGATGTCTGACCTGTTTTACACAGGAAGCATCAAGCGGTGCCGAACATTCCACTCGTGAGCTTCTGTGCTGTCCATTACACACTGAGAGGGTCTTGAATGGCTTCCTTGCTGGACTCGCGAGGTCACATGATCCCTCGAGACTTCAAAGGCCATCGTTTATCAATCAATGTTTCTTTGTATAGCGCCTTCCACTGCCTTTGCTTGAGCCCAAGGCTCTGAACATGAAATACAGTAAAAAACACAGATAGCAATAAAAAGGAGGTAAAAACAACATGCAGACATAAAAGCATACAACCAGATCACATAAAAGCCAAACGATACAAATGCGTCTTCGAACGACGCTTAAAAACCTGCAGCGAAAGTGACCGCTTAATATCAAGTGGAAGCTCAATCCAGAGAGAAGGAGCCAAGACCGAGAAAGCCCGACCACCTCTAGACTTGGACTTAGTCTGTAGCTCCAGATCAGCCGAACGTAGAGTTCGTGATGGGGTATGCCTTTTTGTTAATGCTGTCAAGTATGGTGGAGCACCACCATAAAGAGACCGGATGACATAGCACATAACTTTAAACTTAGCCCGAAAACCTACAGGGAGCCAATGTAATGAGGCCAGCGCAGGAGTAATGTGCCGACCTCCTTGTCCCTGTCAGAAATCTGGCTACAGAGTCCTGAACCAACTGTAGACGTCGCAGCGCTGCCTGACTTAGCCCAGCATTGCAATAGTCGAGCCTAGATAAAACAAGTGTGTGGAGCACAGACTCCATATGCACACAAGACAACCAGGGCTTAGTTTAGGTAAGCCGCCGCGAGTTAAAACGCAGGCTCGTACCACCATGTTTATGTGAGCTTCCTGTTTGAGTTCTGCATCCAGCCTCACCCCCCAGGCCGGTGACAGCTGGCTTCTGGTCGGGAGAGAGAACATCCAGAATAAGAGCAAATCTCACACCCACATTACTAGCAGGGAGACATGTAATAAGCTCAGTTTTGGAGGTAATTGGCTGCGAACCAGGATTTAACATCATCCCGACAAACCAGAAAATTAGAAGTGGTTTCTCTGGAAACAGAAGAAAATAAATCTGGCAGTCATCTGCATACAGATGAAACTTAACACCATGACTGCGCAGGAGAGCCCCCAAGGGACGTTTATACAATCTGCCATTAAACCGAAAAGCAGGAAATCACGTTTGATATCGCTGTTGAATGTCATGATGTTGTTCCTCCACTGCCAGGATTAAAGCCATGAAAACACACCGCTGCACTTCTGGAGCTATGCTGGGGTAAAAAGCTGTTAGGTCACACGTAAGCTTCCTGAATATGAAACTGCGTCGCAGAAAATTACCAGGGATTTTCCTCTGAAACCGTGTGTGATTTCCTGTCTAGCCCTATGTTAACTGAGGAAATCGACACATCCCAGAAGCGGCTCGTGGCAAAAATAGAACCCGATCCTATCTCTAGTGGCGTGGCGCGGCGCTTCTGAGACGCACCTGAAAACTGCCGCATCGCAGCTGGTTTGAAACACTCCATAGACCAGGGGTAGGAGACCCTGGTCCTAGAGAGCGCTGCATGTTTTCCAGCCATGCTTGATCTTGCAGCTTCTAATCGGCTGAACTCACCTGATCCAGGTAATCAGCAGCAGGGACAACAGAGGTGGTTGGAAAACAAGCAGGACTGCGGCTCTCTAGGACCAGGGTTGCCGACCCCTGCCACAGACCATAATGGTTCCCATTTGAAGCCGCTGATGCTTCCAGTGTGAAACGGCCCTGAGTCTTTATTTGTGTGAAAGAGGCAAATATCTTCTGTAGGCTCAGAAAGACCCGTTGTTGTTTTATGTTTAAAAGCTCACTGGTTTGTTTGGGGTCCAGGTGGCAGAGAACTTTGTGCCGCCCCTGCTGGAGGCTGTTCTCATCGATTACCAGAGGAACGTCCCAGCTGCCAGGGAGCCTGAGGTTCTCAGCACCATGGCAACCATCGTCAACAAACTGGGAGCACACATCACCATTGAAATCCCCAAGATCTTTGATGCTGTCTTTGAGTGCACTTTAAACATGATCAACAAGGTCTGTGTAGGTCGCTGTACCGCCTCTATGAAGCTGCGCGGTTTCTCTGAACTTCTGTTTTCTTCTGGCTCATCAGGACTTTGAAGAATTCCCAGAACACAGAACTCATTTCTTCTACCTGCTTCAAGCTGCCACCTCTCAGTGCTTCCCAGCGTTCCTGTCGATCGCTCCGGCCCAGTTCAAACTCATTCTGGACTCCATCATTTGGGCCTTCAAGCATACGATGAGGAATGTCGCTGACACAGGTCTGTTGTAGACAGAAGAAAGAGGTCCTGATTTTCTGTGGTTTTCTAGAGTACACGGGCTTGGTTTATTAGTGCAGACAACTGAGCTCAAATCCAATGTCTGCTGATTTCTTCAGGTCTCCAGATCCTCTACACACTCCTACAGAACGTGTCTGCTGAAGAGGCGGCAGCTCAGAGCTTCTACCAGACATACTTCTGTGACATCCTGCAGCACATCTTCTCAGTGGTGACTGACACGTCTCACACTGCAGGTCAACACCCATCGTAACATCTTCCACTTCCAATACACACATCCTGTTTAAACACCTGAGCCATCTGCACAGACGCTTCGTTCTTATTTACACAAACAAGCCAGCCAGCATGCAAAACATGAAGTCATTTAGCTGTCAGGGATCGTCCTCATGCAATCTGGCTGCCTCTAGGTCTGACCATGCATGCCACCATCCTGGCCTACATGTTTAACCTGGTGGAGGAGGGGAAGGTTAACGTGGCTCTGAGCGCCTCCAACCCCACCAACAACCAGCTGTATGTGCAGGAGTACATCGCCAACCTGCTCAAGATGGCATTCCCACATCTACAGGAGTGAGTATTCCCATGCGATCAAATAAGGTGCAGAGGGTAAAGGAACAACTGCCAACTAGGGCTGCAGCAACGACTCAATAAAAATCGATGAATTAATGTATTGGCGACTTGTTTTGTCATCGATTAGTCGCTTGTAGGCGGCAGCTGAGCAGAACGACAGGGAAAGCCGGTGGTTTGATGAGGAACAACACACTAAGGCCTAGTCCACACGTAGCCGGGTTTTTAAAAAAAACGAATATCCGCCCCTCCAAAAACTTGCATCCACACCACCTCGTTTTAAAAGAAAACCTGTCCACACGTACCCGGATAAATACGTTGTTAAGGACATGCCAGACCTGTAGGCGGCAGTACTTCCCCCGTTCTTAACCTCGTCCTTCGTCTGTGGTCTTCCGCAAGGAGCAGTAATTCCACTTGCAAAAACAAACAAGCAGAAAGCGCTTGGACGATTGATAAAGCGAGCGCAGCTCTGAGGGCATCCATGCTGTCGGCTAGTGTAAACACAGGTCGCACACGTGATGTCAGCATTTTTTTTGTCGCGGAAAGTGACGTTGCGGACCTTAAAACTCCGGTTTTGTCCGTCCACACGCAGACACCCAAAACGGAGAAAACGCAGATCTTCACTTTGGCCGGAGTTTTTAAAAAGATCCGTTTTCGTGTGAAAAAACTCCCGTTTTCGTGTGGATGGCAGGCCAAAACGTAGAAAAATATCTACGTTTTGGCAGATCCCCGGCTACGTGTGGACAGGGCCTTAGAACATGGCAGAAGCAGGAAGACCTAAAAAAACAAAAACTTCATGTTGAACAATGCAACGACCTTTATCACCTGCAACGTATGTAACTCAGACACGGCACGGGAGCGACGGTGATGATGCATCATAGTTTAACTATGATATGTTGGGTGTTAACGTGTTGTTTTGCACCCTATTGAACTGTTTTCTAATCATGTTCTGTTAAAGGAAGGGGTTGAGGAAAGGTTTCGTTTAATCCGATTAATCGAGTTGAGACCCCATTCGATTCATCGGTGATCCAAATGATCATTTGTTGCAGCTCTAGTTCGTAGGTTATTCAGTATAAAATGTATTTTATTTTGCTTTCAGTTTGATTAAGCAGCATCTTTGGGCTTTGAGATGAAGTTTGAAAGTGTAAAAAGTGAACAGATGGAGACCTGCATGTCATGTTAGACAGCAACCCAGCAAGAAGTGATCATTCATGCATGTGCGGCGTTAGTCTCGGCGCTGAAGCTGATCCTGTTGTTTCAGTGCCCAGGTGAAGGTGTTTGTAACGGGTTTGTTCAGCCTGAACCAGGACATCCCAGCCTTTAAGGAGCATCTAAGGGATTTTCTTGTTCAGATAAAGGTGAGTGGCAAAAAACTGTGTCGGTTATTTCCAGCAAAGCTGTGTGGTTGTAACTGGGAGGCAGAGGAACTAATGCAACAGTGGCACTTGTTGGTTACTTACAGTGAGGCAGTTATGTAACTTGTCTCACTTGAAAAGATCTGGTCAACTTCAACTGTGAGAGACCGAACGTAAAGATATCCAGGAAACGACATTGTATGATTTTAAAAAAAAATACATATGACAAGGGCCTCCCCTCAGAAAGCTAGTGTAAACGAGCCATAGCTTCAGGTTTTCTGCGTTAGCATTTTAGCAGATGTAGAGCGTAAATGTTGTTGCTTTTAATCTTAATATATTACCTTTCCTTAAGTCCAATCAGCTGTGATACTCGATATAAATGTAGAATATCAACCTGCTTGGTCTTGGGATGTTTAATCAGAAGATTCTAGGATTCTTTGTTTATTCAGGGATCAAACACACTTAGCCTCATTCAGACAGTCAGGTTTATAAAAGTAAGAAATGTATTTTCTAAACAAATTAAAACAAGACAAGTTAAATGGGACGACTGATGGATGAATCTAAGTGGATGGGATGTATTGAATGGTGTGTGTTTATCAGAACCTTGTATCTAGAAGAACTGAGTTCTGGGTGAAGAGAATTTGGTCTGCATTAAACTATGAAGTTGGTTCTTATAAAACCGGCATCAGATGCAATCTGGCTGTGTTCTACGTACCGCTGAGGAGACTCTCCTTCGGATCCGAGATGTCGGGGGGGTCGGGTGACCCCAAGGTAGTAAAGACCGCAGTACGACCAGGTCGGTCCAGAGTCGTCTCCCGGATCACAACAGATAGATGAAATTGTTTGCGTCTAGAACAGCTGTTTCTGAATAGCTGAAGGAAGCTTTTTGCTGTGTCAGCTGTAGGCAGCTTTTATTTTGTTGAAAGCTTTGGGTTAAAGATGGTTCACCCTGGATCGCCTGTCCGTAGCTTTCTTTAGAACTGACTCACCGTCTAGTGAACTCTTGTTTTGAATTCTTGGCCAACCGGGACGTGCCATGTTAAGGGGTGTTCACAAGCAAACCTCAGAACGTCACGCCTCTTTCAGATACAGGATGCTCTGATTTGTGACTAAGAAAATATTTATGTCATGACATTTAACTTTATTTTATCTCTAATGAACCTTGTGTCTGAGTGTAGATAATGATTCACTTGTTAAATCTAAAATTACTGATCATAATATCAAAATGTTTCAGTTCAACCACAGTAATTTAAGCACAGATTAATCAATCTTATTAATTTAAGCACAGATTAATCTGATTAATTTAAGCACAGATTAATCAGTCTTATTAATTTAAGCACAGATTAATCAAGACATTATTGATGATTTCATATAACATTTGTTCATTCCATTTCATGATTGATTAACTCATATGAGCTGAAAATAGTCACTTTATTCAGAGGCATGAGGAATCCTGTGGTGTCATCAGGAGAAGGCTTTGTTTGGGAACACAGGCTGACATCGTGTTCCTCCTGAAATGTCAACGAGGTTTGCAGAACCTTGTTGCTTGCTGGAAGGTAGAATGTAAAATCCACCTTGAGAATGGAATTTGTCTGCCGGTGACCAGTAGCTTCTATCCAGCATACCTTTACCTTAGTTTACCTGTTCCTAACAGCTGATTCAGTGCATGAATCTTAAGCCACTGCTAGCTAGCACGATTATTTGCTAATGGGAGAATATAAAAAACAAATCTAATCAAAAGTACATACCTTTCTCTTTTCCCTTGTTCTTTCTTCTGAAAACGGCGCCCCTGGTGGCTTCTGCCGCTGCATCCTCCTCAGTGGCTTAGCCGTTCACACAGAACCCGACCGTCCGTCCCACTTTTGTCTGCTAGCAGGTTCTGATCACAACAGGGCAGGCAGCCGAGCTCAGAGTGGGATTGAAGAGAGCTAGATGGGAATATCACTGGCTTGGTTCAGTTGGTTAGCGTAATCTTTTTTTATTTATTTATTTTTGCAGAATGCAGATATAGATGGACAGGAGAACGTTACGCTTTTTCTTTGTTGGGGTTGGAGTTGGTGGTGGTGTGGGCGCAGTTAGGCGCCCCAGGCGGCTGCCTAGTTCACCTGTAGGACAACCGCCACTGGCTGCACTGATTAGTTTTCACACTTTATCAAATAGATGAGTCGATTAGTCCGCAGAAGATTCAGTAGAATATTAATATTAAAGTATTCAATAGCTGCAGCCCTGCTGTATTTAGGAGTCTCTACTCCCCATGTTCTCTGCATGGAAAATGTCACCAGCTAACGCAGAAAAACAACATAAACGATGTTAAAGTTGTGTTAAAATGTTAAACGGAGCTTTCTCGTGGCCTGTGGAAATTATGTTATTTAAATCCCAGAATATGAATGGGCCTTGATGACCAAAAGAAAATGGTCTTCAGTCTTTTGGAGGAGTTTCATCAGAATCCAGACTGAGGTGGAGGAGGTCCTCTCGCTAACGGACCATGAGCTGGTCTGAAGTGGCTTTGTTTTGTGACCCTGCAGGAGTTTGCCGGTGAGGACACTACAGATCTCTTCTTGGAGGAGAGAGAGACGGCTCTTCGCCAAGCTCAGGAGGAGAAACACAAGCTCCAGATGTCTGTACCCGGCATTCTCAATCCCCATGAGCTGCCAGAGGAGATGTGTGACTGAAGCCATCCAAGCAAATGTAGCCCAGCCCTAGAGAGGAGGAAGCTTCCTGTCCACACATGTTTGGTGTGCCTGAACCCAGAGAAACCCTGGCGCTCGGCTATGTCGACCAAATCAGTGTCTATATGTAAATGAGAACTTCCCTCGGTTATTGGTGTCTTTTTTCTTTACAAATTTATTTTATACAGGAATGAAGTGTTTGTGTGTAACCTGCCAACTTTAGTTACTCATTTGCTATTAAAGCTTTGTGTCTGGTACCGCAGTTCCTTTACATCTGCATAAAGTTTCAGTAATTAAAGGTTATTTTAATCCCTATTCACTTTAATTTTACCGCCCCTTCGTTGTTAATATGTAATATAATAATGAGACGTGTGCAGTGCTTATACGATGGGTTGTCCCAGTGTTCGGCGTGCCAAGTGCACCGTATAGAACGAATGAGTAGGTTGGGTCTTTGCTTCATTTTTCTGTCTTGTTTTCCTTTGTGAGGTAGGTGTTGTTGAATCCGGCTCCGTTGCTTTAGAATGGGAAAGAAGGCTGTGTGCAGATCATCCTGATTGTAAACCTTAAGTACTTTATAAAGTTGGCTATTTTTACAGAACAGCTGTTTGTGTCTTCGTTCTAGTTCAGCTAGCCTGATGAGTTGCTGACATTGTTCTGATCCTAAAGGGATTTAATTTCATGATGTAAAACATGAACAATAGAAACAGGATTGTGAGCCTGTGAACCGACGGGGTTTGTTTTGGGTTAAATACCGTTAAAAGGTGAAGACCATTTTTTAAAATTAAGTGCTCATTCTGAACTGAAATGGTAAATATAGCTACCCCAAAACAGACCGTAAAACACATGTGACATCTACAGATAGCATAAAATATCAAATGTAAGATGACATTTGCAGTCTCAGCACCACGCACATACCGATGAGTGTTGCCCCAAAATGACCAGACAGACTGAGACCCGAACCTCGATGCAGAACTCTCGCCATAAGCGAGAAACGTTCATTTTTCTGAGAAAAAGCACAAAATACAAAAATTTTCTAGGGTTTTTTTTCCTGATAAATTTGCAATAAAAGGTAAGTGTCCGGACCGAACCAGGCTCAGAGAGAGGCCTGTTAAGCCCCATTCCCACCTGTAACGGGTCGGCCCGGGCCGGGTAGCCCCAGTCGGCCCCAGCCTGGCCCGGTTGATTCCACATATCCTTGCCTTAAGCCCATGTGGGCTGATTCTACCCACCAATCAGAGGCTTGCTCTAATGGAAGGTGTGAATTTGCTGTCAGCAGTGGGTGTGTTGGCCCTGGTCGGCCTGAAGCAGACCCCCTCGGGAAGAGGGCCGAGAATGAGCCTTGGTTGGCCTGGAAAAATACCAGGCCACCCAGATATGTAAACAACCTACGCTACCCGGCCCGGGCCGACCCGGTACAGATGGGAATGGCCCATAAGAGTCATTCCGCTCGGCTGAGATTGTTTAAACCAGCCTTTTATTCGACCGGAGTGGACTGTTTTGGGCCGACGCAAGTTAAGATAGGCAGAAGACATGAGAAGAGATGGGGAATTATTTTTAAATGTATGATCACAAGGGCTGTGCATCTAGAGCTCCTGAGTAGCCTAGATGGCCTCATGGCTCTGAGGAGGTTCATTGCCAGAAGAGGAACACCTGCTGAACTGTGGTCAGATCAAGATCAACTTTAGAGGAGGAGAAAGAGAACTTAAAGAGGCTTTCTCAAACATGGCTGATGACCTGCGGCAACACCTTGCCAAGCGACAAATAAAATTTCAGTTTAATCCCCCAGGATCCCCTCACTTTGGTGGTGTGTGGGAAAGAGAAATGCGTTCTGTGAAATCAGCCCTGCAAGTTTGTGTGAGCTCTCAACCTATCCATGAAGAAGTCCTTCTCACCGTCCTTCTGGAGGTGGAATCCATCCTAAACTCTAAACCATTAGGGTATGTTTCCACATATATCACCGATGTAGACCCAGTGACTCCCAATAGTCTCCTGATGGAGCGGCCTGATGGGTCATTGCCTCAAGTAGTCTACCCGGAGTCTGAGAACCTCAGCCGTAGACGCTGGCGACACTCCCAGATCCTGGTCGACCAGTTCTGGGTTAGGTTCTTCAAAGAGTACCTTCCTAACATGCAGGCAAGACTAAAATGGCAATCTTCTCCTGACCTCCTGAAGGAGACAGTCATCATGTTGGTGGACCCACAGTTGCCACGAGCCTTTTGGCCTGTTGGATATGTCGTTAAGACCCACCGTAGTGATGATGGCTGCATAAGGTCTGCAGATGTGGACATCAAAGGACATGTGTACACCAAACCGGTTGCTAGATTGGTAGTTCATCCATTGCTATCTTGAGGAGAAGACCAACCAACAACCAAACAGGCCCCAAAATAACGACTAACATGTTTATTATAGCAAATGCGTTAACACATTTGGGGGCGGCTGTATAAAAGTTTCAGAATTTCATATATTACCTTTGTTTGTTAAATTAGTTGGTTTCATTTTGGTGGGAATTCAGGAAGTGACATGCTTTTATTTTGAAGAGCCTTTCACAGTGAGCTCACTTCCAGTGTTGGAATTTTACCTTTCTTTCCTTTTTGGTGGGTGTGAGATGAGTGTTGAATGTTCCTTTGTTCTCCTGCAAGTCATGCTGATGTTGACAGCATTATGTTAATGCAAGAAAGTGAGTGACTTCATGTCTAAGACTGCATTATTAAGTTCCTTTGTTTAATTATGGAATATTAATTGAGTACTGAATTACTGAAGTGTTTATGTCCAACACGTTTCTTTCCTTTTATAAACATATTTAAAGTTGGTTGGACTTGATGTTAATGACATGAGGAGTTATTTTGTTATATTTCATTTCTAGTTTTTACCTTATCTTAGTTAGCCATAAGAGGGCGCTATTGTTTGAATTTCTCTGCTAGACTGTAAGTTGGTTAATTAAGATAAATGTGTTTTGCCTCATTCTTCCTTTCTGTATTGAATGAGAAGGTTCATTAGTAGTTTATTTTAAGACATGTGACAGATGGTTAGTTCAATGCATAGAGTGCTGATATATTGGATAATTTTATATTCTGTAAGAGAATTTTCTGTCACCGTAATTGTTTCTTATCATGATCATTTATTTATGTTTACTGTTTCAGACTGTTGTCAATGCTGTTAATGATGAACATCAACCAAGATTAAAGATTTGGATCTACATCAAAGGACGCATCTAGCCTCTTCCTGTATTCTAACCGATACGCCATATTGATAGCTGCCTCACCTGGAAAGAGCTAGCTTTAACCAAACCCTCCTTTACAGTCGCCGCTTATGATAAGGTGTGCGTAATCTATAGTCATGACAGAAAGGAGCTCAGTAAAATCATCCATGAAAGTTTGAGAAGGCCCTGGTGGTCTATAAATAACAAGTGCTAATATCTTAGGTGTACCTTTAACTTCGAAGCAAAGATATTTTAAGGAGTCATAGTAACTGCACATTAACTGTTTACAATTAAATCTGTCTCTAAAGATAGAAACAACACCTCCTCCACTCCGATCAGTGCGAAGCACATTCAGTGATGTGAAATTTGGGTCTTCCTGTAACAAACCTCACCGGAAGTCGGTAAAGCGCACCCGCTCAAACCCCACCCACCACTGTGACGGACGTCGGAGGAACGCTACCCAACACCGTGCGCCCTCACGGACACCGGAGGAGCACGTTGCTCTCAACACCCCCCCCCAGACACAGAGGCAAAAACGGTCAACAGTTTGGGATCAAAAGTGTAACTACGGGCAGATTAGCTAGCACATTCAGTGATGGGAAATTTGGGGGGAGGCTTCAATGAGGACTGGTGCACAGGTGCTATCAGATAACCACCTTTCTGTCAGGAAGATGGCATCAAGATTGTGAGAGGAGATGAGATCATTCACTAGAAATTACTTATTACTGGGAGATCTAACATTTAGTAAAGTCATCTTCATTGATGTAACTGGAGGACGTTGAGTGGAATCAGGTTGACAAGGAACTGCTATCAAGTATCTAGGATTATGTGCTCGAGAAGGCACTTAAAGTCTTGCAGAGATTATGACAGGAATAGGCAGTTGGGGTGAGATTAGATAGGATGTTGTGGATGGTGTAGTGTAGCATGGAAGCTCTGGAATTGCCTGGAGTGAGTGACAAGCCGAGCGGTGGTTGGCCAACTTGAACTGGATCAGCTGTAATGACCAGGGATCCACTGGACGGGGTGAGTGTGGACGCTCTGGGCACAACGGTGTGACGAGTTGAGCTGCTGCACTGGAAATGTAAAAATAAGGCTAAAGTAATACATGCTACCGAGCGAGGCGCCGTAAGATCCGACACAAGCGGAATACGCAGAGACCATGGACAGAGCTTAGAAGCTACGATGACTTGGCACGGACTGTTGTGAAGGACTTCCTGAAATAGGGTAAACGTGATGATGTGGAGAGGTGGAAACTGGTGCAGGGGATGCTGGGAAGTGGAGTTCTAGGTGATGTCAGATGTAGATTGGATGACTGGAGGGCTGGAATCATGACAGAACTTCTCCAGTGAAGCCGGAAATCACGTTCTAATGAAGCCAACAGCACCACATCATCTGCAAAAAGCAGAGACTCAATCCTTAGGCCACCAAATCGGATACCCTCAACATCTTGGCTGTGCCTAGAAAACCTGACAATAAAAGTTATGAACAGAATCTGTGATAAAGGGCAGCCTTGACGGAGTCTTAACTCTCACTGGAAACGAGCACAACTTACTGCCAGCAATGCAGACCAAGCTCCGACATTGGTCATTAACGGACCTAACAGCACGTATCAGAGGACCTGGTACCCCATACTCCCGGAGTACCCCACAAAGGGCCTCCCAAAGGACAAGGTCCAATGCCTTCTCCAAATCCACAAAACACATGTAGATTAGTTGTGCAAACTTCCATGCACCCTCCAGGAACCCCTGAAGGGTATGGAAATGATCCAGTGTTTCACGGCCAAGACAAAAACCGCATTGATCCTCATGAATCTGAAGTTTGACAATCCTAGACCGTGGCCATTAATCCATATCTGTAGGAGGCGCAAGAACAGAAGCCCTAAAGGCACCATTAATGATATGGCTTTCAGTCTGCGCATCAACTGAAGAAGTAGATTGTAGGACAGTACCATACACCGCAGAACACGCGAGACAAGACCAACCACATCCACTACCCTCTGTGGGGATGGGGAGGCAGTCATGGCATTTGGGTTAACTGTTTGGTTGGTCATTGTTGTAGGCTGGATAACTGTTTACTGTTACCAACTGAGGTATAGTTAAAAGCCACATTTATATTAGAATCAATTTTTTGCCCATAAATTACCTTAAAATGGTTACAAACAGTTTAAAATTTGTGTTATGTGCCTATAGAGCTCCAGGAGTTGACGTCACCTCTCCCGGCATGCAACAGTTCAAATCGAAACGGCGCCATCTTGGCAGGCAGAAGCCCGCAGCTGGGCTATTTGTTATTGTCAGAAAAGTCAATCAAACGGGAAATATGGTAGATTCCTGTTGTGCCCCAGGATGCAGAACAGACACAGACGACATAAGGAATGAGCCATCTACAGGATTCCCCAAGATCCGGAACGCCGCAAACGTTGGATCATTGTAATAAAACGCGCTAGTGACCGGGCTAAAATGAAGCTGTGGGATCCCGAGAGTAAAGGTTTTCACTTATGCAGCGACCGCTTCATATCAGGTACTTAAACCAAGGTTTCCTCAAATGTGTATGGTATTTATTTTAAATGCTTTTATTGAAGAAATACACTCCTCGATGTCTAATGGCTTTATTGACAAGGATGAAGGAGCCCTGCAGCGACATACAAAGCTGAGTGAGCAGAAGCTAACGGCAGCGTGAAGCAGCAGCGTGGGCTGAAGGCCAAAGCTAAGCAGTGCGATAAAATAGGTAAACAAATGCAGCGCGGCTTAGCATGCATACTGACGATGTGACCATTACATTAGCTTAACAAGCAGGTGAAGACTTACAGATACAAGTCGAACAGTAGCATGGATAGACAGCAGTGTGATGGTTGAGCAGCAGCAATCCAAATGAGAAGCAGCAGTATGTACAGTCAGGGATAGTCACATGTACGTGACTTCAGGCACATCCCTGAATACACCTTTTCCCCTCGAGGTTTGATCACCGCACACCCTAGTGGCCAGTGGTGACCTCTGCATCCCCCCAGTCCAGGAAGCCATGTGACACACCGGCGCAGTGGGCTTATGTCCTAACCCACAGGCCAGTTTCAGGTACATATCGCTTGGGTGGCCGCCTTACCCAACCGGAGCCCGCTGGCTGGGAGGAGGGAGGTGATGGGCACTGTTCCGGGGTCCGCACCGCTGGGGCAGCATCCCCGTTGGCTACGTCTGGAGGATTCTCGGCCGACATGAAGTCGCGACAAGGTACCGGCTGGGCGGTGCCAGGGTTTGTGCCTTGGGGCTCGGGTGGTGTGTGTGACTGATCTGGCAGGGGTCCCGCTGACCCCGGGTTGGCAGGACCTAAGTCGTGTGTCTCGTCATTGGACGCAGGCAGGGGCGCAGCAGTCTCCGGGTGAGTGCGAGGGGTGGCCGGGGTGAAGGCACGGAGAAAGCGCCGGTTGCGCAGGGTGAGGCGGCCAGACCCATCGACCCTGATGCGGTATTGGTCATGTCCTAGTGACTCTACTACCACCCCAGATCTGTCCCACGCCCGCAGGCTACAGCCAACTAGGTTCTGGAGGAACACCGCCTCCCCGACTACGAGAGGGCGGAGCAGTCGTACGTGTTCTCTCAGAGACTCAGTGGTGTGGGCAATCCGAGTCCGGAGGGCCTCTTCCTTACGTCCCTGTAGGGGATAGTCACATGTACGTGACTTCAGGCACATCCCTGAATACACCTTTTTCCCTCGAGGTTTGATCACAGCACACCCTAGTGGCCAGTGGAGACCTCTGCATTTATTACTAGTGGGCTTCCTAAACTTATTTTGGCGGGGCTTTTTCTGTCTTATTACTCATAGCAACAAGTAGTCACGTAAAACGTTGCCTCGTGATTTCTGCGAGCTGCCGTTTACGTGTTTTATGATCACAGCAATTAACCGGCTAAGCTGTATTTCATTTTTAAGCAATGGTTGATCAATTGTCAGATCACACATAAAAAGCACTTTGGATTGCTATTATCTGTCTCACCGAGACAGATCTCAGACAGATCCTGAGACGCTCCTGCCTGACATATTTATTTTATTCATGGAAAAAAAAATCAGACTAGTGATTTCTCTTGGCGTTCAGTTTATACATTCAAACAGCACAGCAGTCTATTTAAACTACTTACATGTAAATCTGTTATTTGTCCATCCATCCATCCAATTTCATCCGCTTATCCGGAGTCGGGTCGCAGGGGCAGCAGCCTAAGTCGAGAGGCCCAGACTTCCCTCTCCCCAGCCACTTGGGCCAGCTCCTCCGGGGAAATCCCAAGGCGTTCCCTAGCCAGGTCCGCTCCGACAGCTTCTGGCATTTTAAAAAAGTATTCAGGGGCACGGTAAGTGTCGGAGTTGTTTAGTCTATTTAATTTCTGACTATATAAAACGATTTCTTTGGTTTTAAAGTGTGAAGTAAACTCCGACGGAGTAAAATCCAAGCTGATCCCGTTCATTTTGTTTACTTTTGTTGCCTGCCAACATGGCGTCTACTCTGAGTCACGTGACTTCCGGAGCTCTATATTTATGCAAGTCTTAAATCATCTTTTTCGTATTTAAAGTTTTGTCAAGCATTTACAAAAACACAAATGTACATAATGTATTTGGCCAATTTATTAATTTAAAATATTCAAATTATGACTTGATGCTAAGGAATAAATTGGAAAACATTTGGAATTTTTTTGGTTCAAAGTTGCGGAAAGTGTTTACTTAAATACGTATTTATTTGTTTAGTTTTTTTCACTTGCATATTGAGATAATATTGTATTTGTTTGCTCTTTTTGAGGTTTTCACCTGATTACTGCCTGAAAGAGAAGCTGAATAAAAGACTATCAACTATGGCTGTTTCTTGAGTGAAGTCCAGTTAACATCTTTACGTAGAGAGTTAATCCTTTTCAAGTTGGGTATCGTACAAAAACTACACACACAAAGTTGTTGCTCATCCCCACCAGTGTGTGAATGTGTGTGTGAATCACTGTATTTTGAGGTGCCTTGAGGGTATATATATATATATATATATATATATATATATATATATATATATATATGTATATATATATACTAGTGATGTGTCAGTCGCGAACGAACCGGCTCTTAGAGCCGGCTCGTTGAAGTGAACGACGGGAGCCGGCTCGTCATTGGGAGCCGTCCCCTCTCCCCCTGCCTTGGTGAAAGCTACAGGCGATTGGTCAACATGTGTAACTGTGTGTCCAGACTGTCCACACACAGAGCAGTAGGGGCGGGGAAGAAGGAGGATCAGACTCAGACACACAACAGAGCACATGCAGGTGGAGGGAGACGAGAGGGAATGAGGAGGAAAAAGGCGAGCGAGAGAGAGGAGAGTACAACGAAGACGGTGAGAAAATGAGCGCCAGCAGTCGGAAAGTGGAGATTTCTTTAAGTGTTCAGTTATTAAATCCATAGAAATGATAAATATTTGATATATTGCTTTTTTTACATTAGTAAATTATTTTACATATAGTTTAGCATTATTTTGGTTATACAGTAATCCCTCGTTTATCGCGGTAGATGCGTTCCAGACCTGGCCGCGATAGGTGAAAATCCGTGAAGTAGGGACTCCCAGCATGCCCCTCGTGGGGATTCCCTCCACGTCGCACCTACGTCACAAACCGCGGCTATAAACGGAAGTCGCCTTTCCAGCTCACCACTCAGTCATCGTTTCTTCAGATTCATGATCAGAGTTTCCAACCTACCGATCAATCCAACGAACTATCAGCTCATAGTAAGTTATCTTACTTACTTCTGGAAAGCCTGGCATTTCCGTGTCACTTCGTTGACGCTCGAACGCTCGGGGGTTTCCTAGATCAGCCGGCGTTTCACGACGCTATCACTTCCGCATCTGTGAAACCACGCTCCCTACAAGCTCAGCTCCCGAATCCAGCCGACCTGTCTGACATACAGTACTATATTGAATTATCGTATGATCACATTCTCTTTTTGTGGGTCAAACTCAAGAAAATTTTTTTAACTTGTTTTTATTAGTTTTATTACAAAAAGTGTATTTTATGATGAAATTGATGAAAAAAAACCAAGAATTTCTTGATATTTCGCATAGAAAAATACCGCGAATCAGTGAAAAATACAGCGAATCTGCGAATTCCCCCTGAACAATGCTCCAAAGAAAAAATCCGCAAAGCAGCGAATCCGCGATGAAAGAACCGCAAAGTAGTGAGGGATTACTGTAGTGTACTCTACTCAACAGAAAATCTGAGGAGCCACTTGGGAGCCGAAAGAGCCGGCTCTTTTTGGTGAGCTGAGCCAAAAGAACCGGCTCTCTAAAAAGAGCCGGAATTCACATCACTAAATACTTTTTTGTTCTTGTGAAGCGCCTCGTGATTTTTATGTTGAGAGGCGCTATATTAAAGAAGAAACCGTTTCTTTTAAAACGTTCATTATCCTCTGCGCATGCGTTTGAAGCGGTAACCTGGAAGGGACCTCGCTGCTGGGGCTGGTTGAGTTTGCTGTGGTGTGTCGACCCCCTCCACTCCTTTTTCAACATGGCTGCTGTGTCTGCTCAGAAGTAACGTCCAGATTGGTGACAGACTTCTAGCCTTCAGTGCCTCTTTTCTGCTGGTGTCCATCATCTGCGCTTGGATGCAAATCACGTTCTCCACCGTTGCTGTTCCCCAAGGTTCCATTTAGGGGGAAAACTTCTACGAATCTCTCCCTTCACTGGGCCTTTCTACATCTCCCTACATCAGCCAGCCAACTGTTTCAAGTGCAATGGTTTGAGTAGGCGCTCTCAGGTTTCCTCTCCATGAACAATGTGTGAAAATTGTGCCGAACTGGTGGAGGTTTTAAATGAAAGTAAGTAAATGGTCATTATATTTCGATAAGCCGACGCTGAAGTAGTTGCTGGATGTTAGCAGGCTTGATGAAAGCATGTTAGCTTGATAGCTAGCTAAATATAAGTTTTTGGTTCAGTTTTTGCTCACGGTTTAATCGAGGCTTTGAAACCACAAACTAACGACCACAAGGAGATTTGGGGAAAATAGTTTGCATTCAGTGACACTCGGGTTTTCGAGTCGAACTGATGCGGTTTTATTTGAATGCTAATGCCGTTCTCTTTCTGGGCCTTTCTGTCACATATTCCAAAACAGTTAACTTATAATGCACTGAAATAGTTTTATTTGGTGCATTTCACTCGTTGGTTAAACACACACAGCTGTTTAAACTCAACACATGATAGATTTAGAAAAATACTAATGTTGTTTATAGTGGTTGCACGGATTAAGAAGTTAGCAGGTGGAGCTAGCAGCGGGCTGACTTTGTTTGATGTGTTTGTCAGGTCAGTCTTTGCTAGCTGTCCACTCCGTTGCCATCCATTGTTTTGCGCAGAAACACGTCTGTCTTTTTAAAACGGCCTGCGGGCTCTGAAAACGGGCCCTGTAGTTGAAAGTGCTGACAGAAGGACGCTGTTTGTAAAAATCTTACCTGTTTCGGTGTCATTTCAACATGCTAACGGCAGCCAAGCTAGCTCCGAACGTAAATGACCACAATGAGGCTTTTAGTCGGGAGCGCATTGTAATCTGCTACTTGTGCAGACTGTCGACTGATGCAGCTTTTTACACGCACACCTTTTTATGTCTTGTCTTATATTTAACTTTAAGTTTTCATCAGATGGTTTTTATCCTCTTTGTTTAATGTCAGCTGAAGTCATGGTGACCGCGGCGTTTATCGGGATAAAACTTGTGCAGAACCGCGAGTGCTGCTCAGGCCCCGGGCCGGTAAGCTGGAGCCTGTTGGGCTGACATTAGTCCGGTGTTCTCTGCTTGAGTCTCAGCCATCGTGAGTCCAGACATAAGGACCTGCACCACTCTAACATCTGGAACATCCGCTCAGTGAACGCACGCGACCAGAGTAAATTTAGTCCAGTTCTCACAACACTGACAGATGCTGGAGGTGTGTGCGCGTGCGTGCGTCATTTAGTTGAGAACGAATGAATTTAACTGCTGTTCATCTGTTTGCTGTGTCTGGTTGTTTGGATGAGAGGATCCTTGAGCCTCTGGCTTAAACTGGTGTTTTATAGACAGATGATCTCTTTAAGCCTCAACTACCTAATAACCCAAAACAGGAAGGCCCGTAAAAGCTCCAGTAAGTACATCAGAGGAGGTATTTTTGCGGCTCTGGTGCATGCTTCCTGTTGATGCAGCAGTTCTGGAGCTGATTTCTGATTCTCATGCATATTTAACCTGCTGATAATAATTTTGTCTCAGTCCACATGAAATATGTGAATTACCGGTGAAACTTGAAAAGGTGGAAAATGAGAATCTAGTGCAAAAGTCCATTTATGTCAGTAGTCCAGTTTAGACTTTGCATCGTTGTCGCTATTTTCTAACAGCGACCCTGTTCTTGACCTTTTTTCCTACAAACACGGTGAACAACCAGGCAACACTTCGGAGGACCCTTAGCTACTTTCTGTATAACTATCGATTTTCACTGCAGGTTAGCAAAACACCCAGCCTACGCTCAGGACTGCCCTTTTGGACATTAGGGAAGGGAATGATGTGCACCATGATCACATTACATCGACTGACCCAAGACCAAATTATCCAATGGACATTAGCTCTAACAATACAATACAAGCTCTAACAAGAAACATCAGGGAGACATTCATCATCAGTGATGGGCATAACGGTGTTTAAAATAACAGCGTTACTAATAAAAATGTGTTTTTCAGTAACAAGTAATCTAATTAATTACCGTCTTCTTTATCATAACGCTGTTTCCGTTGCTGATGAGAAAATGCGTGCGTTACTAATTCAGCAGAGCAGCGTGTTGAAGCCGTCGTCAGCTGATCGGGAGCTAAAGAGGCGGGTGTTTTCATGCCAGTGCATCACGGCCCATAAAGAACGAGGAAGACGTGATGAATATCTATGACTGCAGGTCTGAATCTGCAGCCGTACCCTTCTTAGCGTGACAGCGGGACGTCCCGAAGGTCTGCTCACCTGTTCACCGCTCAGACGTCCTGATCTTCTGCCTTCCTAGATCATCCAGCTGTAACCTGTTTCTGATCATGTTTAGTCCCGCTGTAACACTGATGCATCAGTCTCAGACGTCATGGAGCTCAGGTGTTATTAGAACTACCTGTGTGTGTTTACCACCCAGCTTCAGCTCTTCTGTGGTTGGGTCTGACCCAAGTTAGTAAATGTAAGTCCTCCATCAGGCTTGTGCCTCTTCTAGTGTCATTTTAAAGGATTTTATTTATTTATTTAACCGTTACTAGATTAGCAGCAACAGAAATGCTGCTAAAAACACACAATTAATTAACTAGACTGAGAGACCATGTAAAGGCTCAGGAACCTTTACAGGTGTTTCTATTAGCTGATTGGGGTCTTGTTAATTCTAGATTAGTATAATGTTTATGTTTGTAGTTCTTCCTGTTAAGAGCTTATTTATTTCAGTTATTTAGGTTTATAAAAAACATGTGGACATACATTTTATTATGTTCCAGTTAGGGCTGCACAATATATCGAAAAATTATCGTCATCGCGATAACAGGACGTGCGATAGGCCCATCGCAAAACACGTCAAAAATGGCGATAAATGTTTGGTTCAAACATTTCCATCCGTGTCATACATCAACTTTTTGTAAACCAGCTCTGTTTTTTACGCAGAAGTATTATTTGACCAATCAAATGTAGCCCTTCTGATATGCGGCCAATCAGATGGGTCCGTTCTAGGGTTGTCACGGTAACCGGTATAGCGGTAAACCCCGGTAAAAAAGTTGACAATAAAAATAACCGTCCAGTTTTTAAAAAACTATATTATCTCGGTGGGTTTACCGTGGCCGCGGTTTCGGCGCGATGACCCTAACCAGCCACCGTCGCTTCAGCTGAAGTTCCCGCGGCGCGCGCACACACTTTTTAGTTTGCAACGGCACCAAAACTTTGAAGCTGAAATAATGGCCGAAGGAGGAGACGGCAGCGCCCAGGACATCCATCAGCCCTCAAAGAAGACTAAATCGGAAGTATGGGCATATTTGGGATTTCTGAAAAATGCTGAGGGACAGTTAATAGAAGACGGCTATCCCGTTTGCAGAACGTGCAGGAAACAAGTGTCTGCAGAAGGCAGCAACACTTCAAATCTCATGGCACATCTGCGTGACGATCACCCACGTCCCTACAGCCAGTGCAAGGTAAGATAACATTAGCATTTTAGCTTAAATGCATGACGCGAGGACTTTTGGTTGAGGGAGAATGCAACGAGTCACTATAGACTGCAGCCGCAGCGTCCTCTGCCAGCATTTAAACCGTGTCACGGACACCCTGTTGCACGATGAAGCATCGTATTTGTTGATGATGAAGAGAAATATACAATTAGTTCCTTGTCATTGATTTGTTTACTTATTCAATGCCATTTATACTTGAACATTTGGATTTGATTACATAGTGTAGTAGTTATTTTAGTAATTTGTTTAAAGTGGCTATTTATTTTAAATACATATTTTTTTAAGGTTGACTTCAACTCAAGTGTGGACTGGAGTTTTAGATTTTCATTTTGATAATGAAGAAAACAAGTATATGAGAAAACAAGTGGTGTTTCTTTGATTTGTTTACATATTGTTTATGTTTTGAATGTTTGGATTTGTATAATTTAAACCTGCACTGACTACTGCAACATGTTCAAGAAAAATAAGCTGTTTGTTCCTTTACTTGTGAAAAGTTGCACTTTTGCTAAGGCTTTGTGTTATTTTAGGTTTAATAAACACTGTTAAACCTTTTCAGAACTATTTCAGTTTGTGTAGAACAGGACTATCAATGCTTTCTGAACATATGCAACACCGTTTAAAAAATACCGCGATAATACCGAAAACCGTGATAATTTTGGTCACAATAACCGTGAGGTTAAATTTTCATACCGTGACAACCCTAGTCCGTTCACGTAATACGCCCGCCCCCTACGTAGACCCTTACCCCAAAATTCCACTATCTCCGCTCCGCCCCCGCTTTCCGCTGCCGCTCGCTTCCCTTGTTCGTCACGCTGGCTCAGATTAACGAACGCACTTTGTGCTGAGGTTTCTGGAATCAGCGCTGCTTTCAAACGTGAACGTGAGTCCGCTCGGTGTCGTTAAGCAGCTGATAATAACCGGGCTGACTCCGACACGTACCGGTGAACCAACCCACCGTTAGCCCCAGGCTCCGGTTAGCTTCCAGCTAAAAGGCTACAGCACTCTCCTCCCAGTCCCACCCTGCTAAAGAGGGCCTGGAAAAGTTCCCCCACACATCAAAGTGATTTTTCCTTTATGAGCTTTTATAACCTTTTTAATCAGGATAGTTGGTTTGCTGCTGCACATAAACTGTCAGTCAGAAGCTCTGCTAGCCGGTTATCTTAGAGGAGCTAGTTCAGTTTGTTAGCTTATCAAAATCATAGTTGCAGTTTCATCATCTGAGCTGCTTTTTAAGATCTAGGTAAACTTGTTCAATTTGGGGTTAAAAACAAACGTTTTCACATATTTTCCATGTAGTTTTTTGCCAGTTCCTCTTCTGAAAGGTAGACGATTGTTTTTCTCTTTCCCTCAGAAAATCTTAATATTCTCCTAGTTTGGCCCAGCACAGTTCACATCCCAGTTACAGCAACAGCCTTATATCATAACCACATAAGTGGAGAAAATGCTCAGTAGCAATGAGAGAATTTGCTGTTGCATTTAAGTGATGTTAACTATTATTTAACATTTAAACTTATTTTCAGATGTTTTTATTTATTCTAAAAACCCTGGTAAGGGATGTTTTTCTGTATTTGGAGCATCAGAAAAAGTTTTATGGTGGAGGTGATGTTTTAAAGTCACTGAGAAACTGCATGCATGC